TAAGCGAATTATTGTTTATCATAATTGCAAATTATATATTCACTTTCAAGGTTGTATTAAATCTATAAAATTGCATCATCAACACGTGTACTAAGAACGATACAGGTGCATCAGTGCTGTTGGCGGGTTTATATGTCATATGGGTTATAGGCAAACATGTAACGATTCAATATTTTATCGCGATGATAACGTTTAAAACACTACATCAAAAGAGGACACTTACTGATTTATCACAGTAAATATGATCTGCCATCAGAAAGCATTTTACATTTTCATCTATATACCCTAGAAGTTAACACTAAATAAAATTATGTAATTTTATTTGAAAACAAACAGCAGTTGTATTGCTAATGTTAATGCCGTGAAAATATACCCTTTTTTAAACGTCCTCAAAATCGGACTCTCACATTCCAACCATCATAACTGGGGGTTTATAAGGTGTACCAGCCTATTGGTTCAAATGTATTAAGCATGATCCATGACTTTCAAAAAAAACAACTATATAGCTATGAGCATAAATAGATATGGTATTTGCAATCGTAAGTTATTGTTGTTATAATATTATTAAATGAAAGCAATATCGTCACTATAAAAAGGCAAACAGTCATGGTTTACAATATTAATCTTATTATAAAAACGGTAAGCTATGCCAAAGATAATACTAGGAAGGTAATACGATGTAGAACGAGTAATATAACGTTACAGGTGCTAGCCTTTCTCTTTATGTATCAGTGTTATGTTTTCTATGTTTTATGTAAAAATGACTAAATGACAGCTGATCCAGCTTTTGTAGCTAGGTTTGATTTGTTTCTATTTTATTGCATATATTTTTTCACTATATATTTGTTTTATAAATCCAAGAAGGTAATACATGTATATTGAATAATGACCATGTACATTATCTTAATTCAAATATAAAGATAATAACGATGTAAACTTTTCATTGTTCACAGAATCACCATGTGACCAAAGTATATGGAAAATTGTGTTGACATATTAATGTTTAATTGAAATCAGAAAAAGCTGTAATTGAATATTATTCCTAGCACAACATGTACATGTGTATGCGTTTTATTTTTTAAAATTAAATATGCACTTGATAAATTGTATTTTTCAATGAACATGAAGTCCCCTAGTGTAGTTACTACATTAAGTAACTGTGATATTTAATTCTAGTTCTCGTGTTGTGGTTTCTCCCGGTAAGTACAATGGTATTTAATTCAGGTGGGACAGTTAATGTATTCAGTATTAGCTACAAAATTAAATAAATGTCAAAGGGACTGTCAGAAATATGATGAAGAAAGCGGGCCTCTCTAGTGTAGTGTTAAAGGTTAGGTCATCCTATACTCTTCAATGGAGTAGCTTTGTACTGTATGAAAGCACATAAATATTTGTACTCTTGTACATCAAATAAATACTAGCTTGTACTTGGATTATTTCTAAGCGCTATTACCATTATCTTCATATTAATATTCAAACCTACCGAAGCCTGTCCAAAGTCGGACTACATGTTTGCGGAAACATCCAAATGTATGATTAACGTAAGTCAAACACACGTGATTTATTATTATTTATTTATTTATCAAATATGGAGGTTGATATTTGTCATGCAAATTAATTGATGTCATCGCTTAATTGTATTAAAGTATTTGATACCTTAATCAAGAATACAATTTGTACATGCAACAAACGAAGTTGTGTTCCATTACAAAATCGTAAAATGCAACAACTAACATTAAGATGGCCTCTGGTTAAAAGAAAGGTTTCTTAATGTTACATTTCAGTGACATTTAATGACATTTTGCAGGACTGTCCTTGGCCTCCCATCTACTCTTCCTTCCCCTTCTGTCTCTCTCTTGTCACTGCCTGAAAGGGACCTACTGTAATCGGGTGAAATGCTCTACCGTATACGTATGACATTTCAGTGTGCCAGCAGTGAATCTCTTTCTTAAGTTGCCCCATCATCAGCGGATTTCGTTGTCTATAAAACTATTGATGACATAAAGACCTCAAAAAGGGTGTCATAAAAATCATATATTGAAATCATCCGTTCAGACAGGTTTATATTAACCAGAAACAAAATATCCCGCGTCCTCCTAGAAATGTCAACATAATATGAATTATATTAACTCTGATAAAAGGATGGACTATGGTATCCAACCATAATGTGTGGTATTAAGCGGAATAAATTACTATACTGTCAACGTGCGATGCAATAAATTACATATCAGCCTATTAATATTTTAATTTTCGCATCATGTAGATGCATTTGTAAACTATTTACGACATATATTGTCCCATATTTCTTTGAACGGTAAGTCACCTGTTAATTGTTATGGTTTATCCAGATGATTTAGTATATGCTGAATAATGTTAAACATTTACACTTTTACTTACTAGGTAGAACATTCTATCATTTATACAACCGTTTTTGTCATTACTTTGATTAGACTTAAGATATCACGTGATTAGGCACAATGATACTTCGCAATCGCTCGACTTGGGCATTTTTTTGTGGTTGAAGGTGGTGGGGGTTATGTAATGGCGCCTAATGCCGATCAAACAATTAGTCTGTTCATCAAAATTACAGAGACAATATCGAAAAGGAGTATTAAAATGATAATACTTCATGTAAGGTAGGAACTTTTTCATCAAAAGTTTTGGTAATGTACTGATATAATTATATTTTGCTGGTATTGCATTGACTAAAGTGAGTGATTTTGAATATCCCCAATACCTTCCAACTTTATAATTCACAGCTTCAGTATTTAACAACAATAAAAATCACGGCTTCTGTTCTTTGTTGTTTTCCTAACGAAGGGTTACTACATGTACCTAATTGCATGTGTATATGTCCTACGGTTTCCATACACAGCGTCTGACTCCAGCTGTGTAGCTGTTTCCTCAATATTTTCAATTTGAGACTTTCTACATATCACTTTTATATGTTTGTTATTTTCTACTTTCGGATTTGTTCTAATCCTCGATTTTGTTCTGGATATATGCGTCATATGTATAATGTATTAATAACGTATGGTATTCTACTTAAGCTGCTTCATTCTCGTTGCAGTTTATTTTCAGGGTTGTCATGTAATCTTGAAAACCATAGTATTTATTTCTATATTTATTGTTTTGGTTGTTTGGTTGCTTGTTACCAACGTACTTTTCTTGATTTTATAGTAGATATGGCGGGTGCCAAATGTAGTCTAGAATATGCTAATGTCCCGGAACATCTGGTTACGTTTCCCGCCTTTTGTGTGGATGGAGTTATGATTTTATTTTTTCCGTTTTGGTGTCTTATCTATTGCACATAATTACACATAATTACAAGTTGCTGAAACTAAGGATATTTTGCATTCATGACGTGTTGCATTAAAATATCAACATATCACATTTATCATTTAACGTCGTCACATTTGACACATTTTACAGATAAATATCTTGTTTATACCTGTTACAATTATACGATATTGTTTTAATTCTGACATTAATTTGTCAAACGCTGTGCCAATCAAATTTATGTCCATTGAAACAGACTACATGCTACACAAGATATAATTAATGTCTGTAAAAGGCAATGGCCAAATCTGTATCTGCCACAGTAACGCCCGGGGACGTGATGGTGTGTGCTGTAGAGACTTGCAATACGCGTGCATCACAGATTATATTATATAAATACTGACATCATGATAAATATTTAATTAATGAATAAAGTGTTATTGTTGATTTATTGTGCGAGAAATTGCAGTTTTACAAAAGAGTCATGACGCGATTTGCACAAACATCTAAACAATTTTCTTTTGTATCCTTTGAATCCTCAAACACTCAGTAGATTTACAAATGTGGCCCTGGCAAATTAACTTGATTATTGCAGTCATGGTTGTTTTTACCTGAAGTATTTTTAATTGAGATTATGATTCCCTACGTCTTATTGCATTCTTCTAAACACACATTCAACTGTTGTTAAAGATTTACAAAACAGGTGGAGACACAACTCGTAATAACTGTCATTAACAAATTACTGATCGGTTATATTCACGATTTCACAATAAAAGCAGTCAATCTTTGTTTTTTGCTTTAATATGAAAAGTTACAATGCAAATACATTGAGCTTGATGGTAACACAAACTTAGAATAGTCTGTCTAAACGCCAAGTAATGCGTCATTGATGAAAAATTATCTAGTACTGTTTTTGCCCATTATACAACTGCACTATTTTTTGTTTATAGCAAGCTCAGATTCCCTTTCAAAGCCTGATTTTTAAGAACAATCCTATGATTAACAAGTAATTCTGTGTTGTAAGATTTAAATCACTATAACATAACTTCAATTTAAGGGGAGATATTGTATGGTGATCAAGGAAAAATATAATTGAAATAAACAAGGCAAAATGTTGCTTTCACTGAATATTTTTCACATTCTAAATTCGATTTGTGTTGAAATACATTAGCGCATATCATATTATTTAAAATGGTTCCAATAAGTAACAACATACATATATAGTTCAAATATGTAAACGTAAATTACATTTTTGATTTAATGACATCATGATGGGTAAAGACGTTATCAAGACAGGAGATGTATTCTCTCCTATTCATAGCATAAGCAAAAATGTAACCTATATTATTCAATATGAACTATACATGGTGGGCTACAATAATTTGATCAAATTTTAGATATTCTGCACCTTGAAAAATTGCAAAAGTATATATTGCATTCATATTTATATCACGGGCATTATGAGTAGAAACGGAATAACTTAGTCATTATCAGTAAATTTTGAGCTATCGGTTAAACATTACTTACCATTAGATGCTCTGTGGTTGACATTTGTAATCACGTGTTCTACATGTAGTTACATTGTACACATAGTGTATAACTTATAGAAACTATGAATTTAATACAATACGGATAGTTCTTATTCTGCATAAACGCAAATTCGGCGCCGTATGGAATTACAAATTCCGGTTTGAATAACCTTTTTTTATTTTTTATTACAGCCTGCACTAAGGAACACTTACATACCGACATGGGGGAAAGGTTATGGAATGGGACTTATGGGTGTGTTTGAGGAGGATTTGTCAAAATCTTCTGACAAGGATAAAACTGATTGGGACTCAAGTGGTAGTTACGGAAAGCGTTCCTCCTTTGGATCAACTGCATCGACCAAGTCGGTGGACAAAACCTTGCGAAGGAGGAACACTATTGTGGTGATATTGATGGGAATCGCTGTATTAGCTGCGCTGTCTGTCATTGTTGGGATCGCCCTGTACTTCGCCTATCACAAAGGTACTTTGTCTCATTGTATTATATTCTGTATTTAGATATTAAACTTACCTAGTATTTTTCACCATAGGGTGGTATAAAGCATGTAATATGGGTTACCTAGAGACGTTTCCTTCTGTCCTCTGCTAAACAATAATAGGTCTACGTCAACCCATCACCATCACTATTTATTCCCCCTCCCTTTCTACCATTACGATATTAGCGTTGTGTGCCACGTGTCCCTGTATATATAATTAAGATCAATCTTTAAGATGAAACAGATCAATACATTTAATTTAATTTAAAAGCTTTTAACCATATGGGAGTAATTGTCGTAATTGTTTTGTCGATTTATCAAAATTAAATTGAAATAACCTCTACTAAATCATTAAGAAAATCATGAACTCTTAAGAATAATTTTCTAACCTCAAAAAATATACAAAATTACGAAAACCAAAATTTAAGTGGTACATTTGACCAGTTTACACCCAACCCCCTGGGATGTATGAACATACGTCACCTACCATCTCTTAACCTACTGATCCTTTTATTTACCTACCACTTGGTCCTTTATAGCCTTATTATCATACGACAAAACATTTTGAACGGTTTACTACTTAAGCTGTGTGTGGTTTCATTGTAAATTATACCAGCATGTCGTTCTAAATTCCTTCACATCCAGGTGTCTGCGGTATCTATGACCTTAGTCTGCATGCCTTATGTCACATTTGCAAATTTGAAATTACTGCAGGTGGCATCATCCTCATAAGAACATTTCAAAACTATAAACTATGTTCTCCCAAGTTCTGTCGACTATACATTTGCAAAAGGCCTCCGCTTTGTAAAATGACATACAAACGGGTTTTTAAAGGTATATGTTACAGCAAGGCATATCCTATACGCTTATGTAACATCGGCATGTGCAAGGGAAACGATTGATCCTATTTCAACTCCAACGACCCAAGTGGAGTATAAAATGGTTCGGGGGGTAAATGTACATGTAACGGTATCTTTGCTATATTATTCAAGTGAGGTGGAACTATAAATGATAACCCTGGAAGCACGGTCCCACTACAAACAAAACACAATACATCTCTAGCACACACTCAGACATACACACACTGGGACATATTAGCCATGTGGCATAGTACTAGTGGTTAGCGCCTGATATGACAGATCCTGCGAATACCTAAAAAATGTATTGATTCATATATATGTTTATTGTTATGATTGTATGAATATAATAATTGACCTTTATTAATGAAAATCCGCTTAGAATCTTTGGCCTTCCATATCATCGCAGATAATTTATTGGAAACGAATGTATTTTTGTGTATTAGGTAACAGCAGAAAATAATAACTCAAAGTTATGAATTATGTTCACACTATTCTGATACAGATACCTTACGTTAATATTTGTCATTCACACTAGTCTGACTTCATTTTAAAATAATTAGTAAATACACAGGTAAAGCGAATCCCTGTGAAAATGTGGTCAAACTAAAGCTTTGTGCAAGTCATAGAGACTAGGTTTCAGGCTGAGATGAAAGTTATGTCCCCAAAACCTGGGAAACAGTAAAGTTGTTTTGTGATTTACCGCAGTACAGTTACTTAGTGCATGCTCTCTCGTGAATGTAGAAGTACTATTGATAAGAGCAAATCCGAAATGTCTATAGGTAATTTAACAAATGCAAGTTTACATTCGAAATGACATTGTGGATACGTGTTGGTAGTCATTTTAACCAAAGAACTGTAAAAATGAGCACATTCTATCCCCAAATCTTAAGAGACAGACGAAACAATCATCAGCATCTACCACCTTTGTTGCGTGAACATATCTATGGTAAGTTTTGTTTGGTTAATGATATTAACCTTATTAAACTATTATACTATTGCTGTCTCATCGATAGACTGAGAGACAAACCTGCAGTGTTCGTACAAATTACAACGGATAGTATGCATACTCATAACACGATTTCTCACCCGGGTGAAATTTTGTGCAGGGGTGAAAAAACGTGTTGCAAACGCAGCAATTTTAGCACGAGTTCTCACTCAAGGAAGAGGTCGTTTCGGGGTTAGAAATCGTGGCGAAGCAAATCTGTCCTACCAGCTTAACTGTTTGAACCAGTCCAATAGTCCAGACCTCACGACTGACAGGTCCAGGTTCGGTCGCCAAACATTATCTTAACTGCCAAGCCATATTGAGTTATTTTAGATGCTCCTTAATTTCCGAGAAACCCAGAGAAAAAAACAAGATGATTTTAACTTTCAATGTGACGATGTGATACATAAATTAGCTATCTATTTGAGTTCGTTTCTAAACTATTTTTAATAAAATAGGTTAGGTTAGGTGTATTCATTAAGGCAAAAATAAGATGTCAGCTGTCTGATAACGCGCACGTACCGCGTTAGGGCTTTGTGATCCTTCTTTACCTATGTGTTTTGTATGTCACAGTCCCGTCACATACAGTTATATTCCCATGTCAGGTTCACCAATCTTAATCATCAGTTCTGGAGCCACAGCTGAGGTGGCCAGCTCAAGCTATGTTTAGGTTACGTCTTAAACGAGAAAAAGACATCTTAGAATTTACATAATCGTTTGGTGTCACTTGCGGTGAAAAATGTTTGCTTTCATTTTACATAAATGACAAGAATCACAGCCATGAATGTCGTGATATTATATAAATGACCATTTAGAATTTTTGCTGGAAATGTGACTAATACCTTCGTATATTCTAGATTTTTTTTTCATTTTTTTGCCTGTCGATTTTCTGATAACTAGGAACTGCATGATACAACACGTTTTTAGTTCATTTATTAACACGTACACATGTTAATTTAATGCAATAATCAGTATGAAATTCATATAAATCTCAGTATTGTCATTTATATTCTTTTATTTGGATATATAACAGTCTCTTTATAAAAATACCATTTGATGCCCTGATTATAAAATGATCATGTCATGATTATTCTTACAAATCCATGCAAACCGGGACTATCCATCCTTCTGTTTAGTTTGTTAATTTCTTTTGTAATTTGATATTGTCATATATTGTTTTTTATATTTTAAGCTTACTTTTGTATACTGCTATACGCTATGTTACAGATACAGGCCTAAATCAAGAGTTAAAAGTTACATATGTCGGTAACACTAATTTATTTTTGTTTTGTTTATATACTACAAACGTTATCATAACTCTTACTTTCGTGAATATAGGTTATTTTTGTACTTAAATTTGTTTATTTTTTAGCAATCCTACGAGCCCATATCACCCTCACAATCGACAATCGAAATTTCACAAGTCTGATGAAGGACAGGAAAACCGAAGAGTTTGCGTCCATTGGTGAACCAATGTGCGATGAGGTGATTATATTGTATATGTACATTTCTACAGGGATCGTATTTAGTAGATTAATGCAACATGACGAATGTTAAACACTTCAGGAAAGTCTGAAACTATTTTTCATATGTAAACTTAGTTTACGATTGCGTTAAATTTAAGATCTTTGATGTTCTCGTATTGTATGTATAAAGTGGGCAGATTAATTACTACTACGAACATTTCTCAGCTAACCTGCACCGCAAAAGCAGTCAATGTTGTGGTACGTTTGTACGTATGCTTCACCTTTACTTGACAAAATACTTTTATAATGGTATAAAGGGAATACTTATACGTTAATTGATAACAAATTTGGTTCTACTGGACGTTACCTATGTGAAGAAGTAGACACGTCTTTTTCTCTTAGGTTTGATGTTAAGTATACAAGGATGTCGCCAAAGGGGACGTGTGGTACTTTTACGTCTCTCGATTAAATTACAATGTGTTTTATGGGCCAACGGCTCAGATAAAATACCTATGTATAGTAATGCTAAAACAGTGAGTTTCAGAACCAAAACGTGTGTGTGTTAATACATTATATTTTAGCACTGAACCAGCATAAATGTGTTATGTTAATGGCATATGTCGGCATTTAATATAATTTGACACATGTACATATATAAGTCGTCTGTTTTGTATACACTTAATATTGTGAAACAATACACTCGATGTATCATAAGAATGCTCTGCTAACTATCCAGGATTTTTTCTTTATACAATATATTTATCCTAAACAACCCGCTGTAATGTACACTGTAAAACATTTGACGAGGCAGCACACGCGGTTCAGGAAACTACCATGCATCCGGAGAGCATAGTCGTTGATTGGGGTTCAAGATAGATATCGTTTTTGTCCTGCGTCTTTGATATCAGAAATGTCCTTGTGGATTGCCACTTGCAGACATTTGTATATCTTATTATCTATTATTTTTTTATTTGATTCAAGTCTGACCCTTACCTCACAATTAGAGTTTCAGGTTACAATAGTTAAAATATTATCACTACTTCACAAATCAAGATCCGACCACCGATCTTATAACGTATAGTTTGATTTCTTGCCTCATTTTATTCGACTTGATGTCTACCTTACAAAAACGGATGTTTACCCGTTTCATCATGATATTGAGTCTGTCACCCTCATAAAATACTGTCGGTTCCCCTATTCTACAAAACAAAGTCTGATCCCTCCCAAGTCAATGTCTGACCCCTGCCTCACAATATGAGCTCTGGTATACTACCCTGAAACGAACTCTGACTCCCATCTATCTAAAATATTAGGATGATCTATTTTCCTAACTACAACGGCCGGACATTTTACTCGATACAATTCAGTCTGACACTCTATCATGTAAAATGTACTTTGGCCTAAAAGATCAAAACCCACTTGCGGATGACTTACAACACCTGGATTGACCTCCTACCTCACAATCAAGATGAAAATACATAAGATATATACAACAATATGGTCAGATCCCCAACCTAAACAATCACACACTGACCCGCTACATTAACATTACAAAACATGGTTTGACATTAGTCTCACAAAATACAATCTCTGACCCTACCTCGTAAAACAAGTTTGACATCAAACATCATATAAACTTATCAGAAACCCTTTCGGACTAAGTAATGTCTAACGGGACACTGTCCTCATGGCCTAATCTATTGCGTTTCCTCTGTTGTGGTTGGACCACCTCGACACATTTCATTATTATGTACATGCCTTTGGCCTTATATCAGTTACCGAAAATAATTACCATAGTAATGGTTTATTTAAAATTACAATTTGTGAATTATTTTGTTATTAAAGGGCAGAGGTCAAGTTGACAGGTCACCCGTTTAACATACATATCAACATTATATGATTGATAGTGGATCTACTAGGTCAGATAGTATTTATTGTTGACAAGGCTTTCAAATGCTAGGTTAATTATTTGTAATTTGTCCCATTGTCAAACAATGATGAATAGAGAAAGGGTCATTACTTCAATGTAATAAAGACTTGAGAACCATGTACACAGTTCCCTTTTCAGTTCATTAATTGCCGTAGTGTTCTTTGTATTTTTCTCTGTGCCTTTTGTTATGGCAGATATACATGTATTACTGGTGTAATCAACCAAAAGTGATAGCTTATAATGTCTGTAGAATACTAATTGGTCATTTATGAAACCTAATCGTTTGGTGTTATAAAATAAGGCCTACATGATTATATTCATTTCTGAACTTTTGCAACAAATAATTCCATCTTTTACATAAGATAACAATATCATCATTTTACAAATATAATAAACTGTGCAGACAAATTCGTTATATGTTTCTTTAACTTACAAATCTAGCAACATGTTTACTTGTTTGGTAATATGTACTATCCCACCAGTACACATGAACAACATATATATCACAGGGTCAGTATAAAATTACAAAATATACCACAGTGTCAAAACAATGGGAAAAAATATATATCACAGTGAAAACACATAAGTACAGTGTATATTCCAAGGGGTCAACACTCTGAACTCGTGGTAAAAGGCGATGCATCCTTTATTCAAAATGATATCAACATTTGTACTCTCAACAATACACACACACACATACACTGTAGTTGCTCATCGTTTGCGTAATTATTCTTTAAACGTACAGGTGCAGACGAATTTAAATATCAGGTGAAGAATTATCTTTAATTTACATTTACACTGTGACAAATATCGAAAGTGATATTTGCACAGTGTGACAATAACACTTGTTGGCAAGCGTGACTTCATTAGAATATGGCGCTAGTTATCACGCTTCTGATTCCCGCCCTTTTTTAGTGGATTACTTTTTCATGTTTTATGCATTAAAATGTAACTAATAGAAAATTAAATGGTGTCTTCAGTAATTGCAAATATATTTCACGAGTGTGGCTAATATTTTGATATTTTTCTCTCGTGTGAATATCAAAATATTAGCAACACTCGTGAAATGTATTTGTTATTACTGAAGACACCATTAAATATCTTCTATATATATGTGGAGAGTTAATATCTGAGAAAGTGAATATGCATTGATATAATAAAAATATGTAAATGTAGTTAAATCACCCTCTCTGATTTATTTTTCAGATGGAGAATTATTTTCTGTACAGTGAATTTTCCCATTTCTACTTGACATGTCATATCATCAAAATGAGGTAAGAATTATATTAACTATGAATCATCTGTAAATTATCATATATAGTCAATCGATGTTTAATCAATCAAATTCATGTCAGTTAAAATAAAAGAGTTTCTCTATTACAAATACAATTTATACTGCTAATAAAAAAAGTTTTTAACTTTTTTAACTTTACATATCATACACGTACCTTTGTCTAGTAAACATTCACTGTGGTTTAAGTTTTTAAAATGAGTTATTTATGAATCGGGGTTTATATTTATTTTGATTAGTTTATTATACATACAAATACAATATACCTGCTTCTTTAACGAAATGATAATCTCCAAAATAGCTCGTTTGAAGTGCCAGTATCATTGTATTCGGTAAAACTTTGAAATAAATATAATTAAGCTTTGCATCTTCATTTGTACCTATTGGTATTTTTTTTACTTTGCAAACGTTTGCAGTGTGGATATATTTGCGTTGTCAAAGATATTTCAATTTATACAATGTGTTTATTGTAAATCAATAAATTACCAATTGCATCCTATGATGATTTAATAAGATAGAAATAAGTGAAACTCAATTTTTACAGTATTTTCTAAAAAAAAAGTTATCAAAGCGGGAATAACTAGAGTCTATAAGATCAACGCAATAAGCAGAGACATTGTTTTCCTGTATAATCAATGATGTTTTAAGTTTTAACCTATTTTTAACTTTGCTATTTATTAGATTTACGTATTCTTACGCAAAAGTTTCCTTTTTTCAATTGTTTGTATTATCTGATGCCATGAAATCGCTTTGGCTTTAGTTTGATTATGTTTAACACTTTAAAGTTTAGCAGTTTAAATCATTTCCGTGCTCAACTGAATTTATCATGTCATAATTTGACCGATTTGGAAATTTACTTCTTGAGTATTTGAATCTAATATTAATTTGACATAGCTGCTGTCACATTTTGGAGCATAACTTCCACAAATATACAACATATTATTTGCTATGGCAAAATTCTTTGAAAAGGTGTTTATATGATATTAAACTGTTCACTAACAAACTCGAATTAATTCCCGGATAAGTTACAGATAACCCATATCGACATTTTAATGAAAAATCATCAATTAAATTATCTTTTAGCGATGATTCCGGAAAGGTTGGATTATATTTCACATTGGATTTTGTGGATAATACCCACACCCGTGACCCTAAACATATTGAGGATCTAATACTAAGAAAGGCTGATCGCTTAGTGCGGGAATCAAAACTGTTTCTCGTTATTCGTGATTTCCTCGTGTACGTTAAAAGTATGGATATATGGGTAGAAACCATACCGGTAACTGGCGATATCAATCACCCGAAACGTCCTAAAGGTAAGTTCTATACCGTTTCATCTTTTCTCAGCACTGCTATATATATATGAACTGCATATTCATGCATTGCACATCGTTTGTATTATGTACGGGTCGTTACCAACCCTAAATTGTGAATTAACACAACATTGAAAAAACTGTATATTCCGCTGAATCACTATATTAGACCAGTATTATTCCACATCCTGATGTTAATTGCTTTTAGTCATAGTAACATTAGAACTTCTTATAATTACATTTAGAATATCCATAACTTAACAACTTAATAAAATTCATTGTATGTACCAAATTGCTTTGTTCGAATGAATTAACAAAATCCAATATAGTTATTTCTTGTTGTGAATTTGTGTAAGGTCGCGTTATATACGTATGTTGGTTTTGAGCTTGAATAAAAAATAACGTTTTGACACATGGATTTGTATTAACTATAATGCAAACGTCCTTTTACTAAAACATTTCGCAGCAACTGCATCAACACACAACCTTAATACCGCACTTACCGTTCAATGTTAATTTGTACATGTTTCACAAAAGCGTTATTTGACGGGAAAATATTTGTGACGCTTCCGCTTATAGAACAAGTGTTTTTGATAATTGTCCTTATTTGTTCACTATATGTATACTAAAATTGTTTTTGTTACTTTGTATTAATAAATTTGCAACGTCACTTCCTCTTCAGAGGAGAGGAAAATTGTGGTGGAAAGTGCTAAAAATAAGGGTTCTTCGTTGGAACTGTACCCGTCTATGTCTATGTCTGATTCGTCAATTCGTTCACGTGATGTTCTACGTCATACGTCGTATCCTATGGTTCACAGTGTATCGCGCTTGCTCACAGAGCTTTCTGTCAGCACCCCACGATTGAACAGCGGCCTGCACACACGTCTCATCACGCCCACCAGCTCCAAACTCTTCCTGATTACAACTACGGCTGCGTTTGTAGGCTCTACGATGTCGTCACGAGGCTTTAAGGTAGATCCTACTTCAGCCGAGGCATTTTCCCGGTCCACAGTTGATGATAATACTTTGCAACGGGAGGCCACAACCACAATCAAACCTTTTGAAAGACTAAATACTTCACCGGTCAATAAGATCACTCCAAAACCATTTTTTGATGACTGGGCTTGGCTCCTGAACAAACTGGCCACAAAGCTTAACAAAAAGTCTATTGAACAGTCTTTGGATGAAGAATCTTCTCTAGGTATGCTGCCCTCCTGTGCGCAATTAGATGTGTTCAGGAATTAGAAATAGAACTATGCACTTAGAAGAGTTATTGCTAATATAATTGTTCACTTAGAATTAGTTAAAATGTAGATTTTATTTCAAGAGCACCATGTACATGTACCAATATAATTACATGAAAATGCATGTTTAAAGCATGCCAGCATTTGTATTGATTAACATTATTTGTTTTTCACAATCTAACATCTGTACTTTTAATTATTGGTTGTTGTTCACAACTTACGGCGACTGATTTAGGAAATCATTTGGGAACATATATCTGGATACAGGAAGGTGTTTTGATATTTTGTTTAGTTTGAGACCAGATAGAATGCAAAAAGCAGGTTCAAGTATTTAATATAGTGGAATGCGAAATAATACCTTGTTCATGGTATGAAAACTCCTAGTGCATCTGCTCTGCATGAAAGGTTAACATATACGTAACTGATTTGAATGCCCTAAGTCAGCCACCGTGTTTTACAGTTAAACGACGTTGAACATCTGACTAATTTTTCTTTTTCACAGATTCATCATGGACAAAATCAAATATAATCGACATAACACCAACACCTACTCTTTACAAAACTAATGTTGAAACTGCAAAGCAATCTAACTCACTGTACACTGACAAAGTTGACGTGATTGGTCACGCATCTCTGTATGTAGGCGCACAACAAAATATCCCTTTACTTCAGTCTGGTACTAATAATCCGAATACAAAAGGTAGGTATTGCTTTACAAGGTTAGTTGAACTAACATCGCACCTTAAAACTTAATTAGACAACAAAACATCTATTACGATATTGAATATGCTTGATCACATACTGTTTGAATAATGGAAATAAAGTTGAATACGTGTTACACAGCATTGGGGAAATCCCTACAATGTCTTTTAAAACAAATATTCCCACATTCAATGTTGATAACGGAAAAAAATGATGAACATCTTAACAGCGATTCCATAAATGCAATAACAGTCTTACAGCACTATTACTACGTGTTCATTTCCTTACAGTGATTCATGTTGAAACTGTCATTAAACAATGCATTACGTCCTATTGACAGAACGAAACAACGCAAAGGTAAGGGCATATAAAACTGATAACAAACATCAAGGAAATCAGCAGGTCATCAATGATGGCGACACATTTGACAATAATCCGTCCAGTGGAAGCACTGATGTTTTGGATGCATTTAAACTTTGGAATGGACAAGATTTTTCGGGATATGCTGAACACAAATCTATACATCACAATTCGAAGAATTATTCTCATATTTCTGGAAAGGACATTAGAAATGATTCTCACAAAGATTCGTCAGTTTTGGATGTTGACAGTTTGAAATCAGTAGAGATTTCTCAATCAGTAACGGCCGTTGATTACGGGAAAGGGAACAGAGTAACGGACACTCATACACGGACTTCACAATCAAAATATGACATTATTATCCCATCAAAATCACTGATCATTAGTTCCGTTAACCAGGATAATAACTTTGGCTTCAAGTCTGTAACGTCAGTTCTTCCAGATCCATCCCCTAGTGTCACTGTCTCGAAGGATACATTATTTTCATCCGGGGATTCATATCATTTGAATCTTAAGTCATCACTCTCACATTTTGTGTCACTGAAACCTTCAACTTCTCCTGGAAATACCCAGCCACTGCCGCCGCCACCAGCATTCAAAGATACTTCAATGCCATCACTACGTATTGAACGAGTTCATACATTTGACATTCATATTTTACCATCGCAACTAATAACTGGACGACCAATCGACAGCACTTTGGAGCAAATAGACGGTGGTCCAATAAACAACATACATGGTCGTGTTGTGAACAACCAAGACAATGACAGAGACAGCGCTTGGTCAGAAGCGCATCATCAGAATCGCGATGAAACCAATACTAATTATAATGATGTTTCAAAGCACTTAAACGACAATGCAACTGACAGATATAACAATAACAGTACAACTACGAGAAATAAAGAGGGACGGGATTCAGATGGAGCTACGAATATTTCGGGTAAATTTGAGGTCTCTCATGATGACAGTAAAATAAATGATACTGACACTGAACACTTTAATTCGAATCCAGATCGATTAATAAATACTTCCTCTTCAGATAGGCAGGCAAGTGGATTTGTAATTTCAAATAAAAGAGCAGGTGGTTCCAACGCTAGTCATTCAAATGTGCTAGATAGCGTGTCACATCCAAACGGTTTAGAAGGTAGTTTAAATATTTCACATGAAGTAACAGGCGATTCTAACAGTTCATATGGACTAGCAAATAGTTTCAAACATTCAAATGTAGGTGGTAGCTCTAACCATTCAGATGGTTCGTATGGATTAACAGATATTCCAGAGCAAAGAAACAGTTCAGATGGTCAAGAACGTACTTCCAAACACTCAGCAAAACTAGCTGGTAAATCTAACCATCCAGATGTTTCAGATAGTCGCGTAAGTGGTTTGAGCAGCTCGGACAGACGTGAAGGTAGTTCTAAACATGTTGGTGGATCATCGGCAGATTCCAGCAATTTAAGTCGATCAAATGGATTTACACTAAACGCTAAGAATTCAGATGCTGCAAATAGAATATCTGATAGTACTTACCATCCAAATAGTTTAGATGGACAAGCACATACTTCCAATCACGCAGACGGAATAACGGGTAATTCTAACCATTTAGATGAACCGGCTGTAAAATCAAATCCAGATATTTCAGATGGAAAAGATGGTAGTTTTAACCATACTGATGGACTAGCTGGTAGATCGTCTTATTTACACGGACCTGTTGGTAATTCCGACTATTCAAGTGGTCTAGGTGGCAGACTTCATCATTCAAATGGTTCTGGAGAACAAGATATCAGTTCTAAACATATAGATGGCTTAACTGGTAGGTCTTATCACTCAGCTGGTCTAGGCGGTAGTACTGACCACCCATATGGTTCTGATGCAATATCAGGAAGCTCAGACAAATCAGCTGGACAAACTGGTAGTTCCAAGCTTTCAGATGAACTTGCAAGTAGTTCTTATCTCTCTGATGAGCTAAATGTCAAATCTAGCAATTCCGATAGACAAAATATTAGTGTTATCAATCCCAACCGGACAGATGGTAGTTCTGTCCATCCAGATAATCCAGACGGACAAGGAAATATTGCTAACAAATCAGATGGACAAGTTGGTAATCTCAAACATTCACATAGACTATCGGGATTTTCCAACTCGGATGGCTCTGAAGGACTAGCTAGCCAAACTAAACATCTGGATGGTGCAGATAGACTACCTGGCAGCATAAACAAAACAGATGGTTTAGATATAATGGCTAGAAGAACTAAAACTCAAGATGGTTCAGATGGAATAGAAGGTAGTTTTAACCACTCTGATGGACAAGCTGGTATTTTTGACAAATCCAATGGGCTGGAAAGTACTTCAAATGGTGCAAATAAACAAACAGACAGTTTTAAACATTCTGCATTACTTGCAGGAGGTTATAAACAACCAGATGGACCAGCGAGTAGTTCTTACCATTCTGATAGACCAAGTCATTTTGGTCATTTAAACGATTCTGATGGGCTAGCAAGTAGTTATAACCACTCCGATAGACTAGCTGGTAGTTCTTCAAATGCAGATATACTTACAAGAAGTTCTACGTATCTTGATAGTTCAAACAGACCACCAGATGACCCTTCTCATGCTGATGGTTCAGCTGGTCTAGGAGGCAGTTCCAACACTCCGGACGCTATAAATAGGACAGCAGGTCGTTCTGAGCATCATTCAGATGGTTTGAATGTACGAACAAGTGGTGTAAACAATTTCGATAAATCAAATCATTCAGGTGAACTAGCTGGTACAGATCACTCTCCAGCAATCTCGGAAATAACAGGTAGCACAAACTATTCAAATGGTTTAAGTGGCGGAGGGGATAGTTCTAATCATTCAGATGTACTAGAAGGTAGTTATAAACTTTCAGGTGATTTTGATGGGCAATATGGTAAGCCAAATTATTCAGATAGATTAAAAGGACGTGGTAGTAGTTTTACTCATTCAGATGGTATAACTAATAGTTATAATCATTCAAAGGCAACCAGGGCAGGAGTGGGTAGTTTGAATCATTCAGATGTACAAGAGGGTGGACATAAAGCTTTAAAAGATTCAGATTGGCTACCTAGTGACTCCAATTATTCCGATGGATCAAATGGTCGTGTGAGTAGTTTTAATCTTTTAGACGGACAAGCAGATGGTTATAAAATTTCAGAGGACTCAAAGGGAGTTGCCGGTAGCTCAAACAATTCGCGTGTCTCAGATGAACATGCAAGTAGTTCCGATCATAAAATTGGTTTAGATCGGCTAGCGGATAGTTTCAATGATTCAAACGGACAAGCAGTCACATCTGAATACCTAGATCGTTCCAATGAACATGGAAGTAATTCCACGCATTCTGGTGATTTAGATATACAAGCAAACAGTTCTACTTTCCCAGGTGGCTCAGGTGGACCAACAGGTAGTTTCAGCAACCCGATTGATTCAGACGGACTTACTGGTAGTTCCGACAAAATAAATGGTTCAATTGGATTTGCAAGTAATTTAAATCTCCCAGATAACTCAGATAGAAGAGCTGATAGTTCCAAGCATTTAGCTGGCGATTCAGTTAATTTAGATGGACTAGTTAATAATTTCAAATATTCTGATGCTCAAGCTGGAAGTTCTCCCTATAGAGATGGAGGTACAGGAAAAGCTGCACATTCTGATGGTTCAGAAAGTCCGAAGCATTCCGATTTGTTAACAACCAGTTCTAAGCTGCCTGATAGTTCAAATAGATCAGATGGTACATTAATTCAATTAGGTAGTTCTGATGGACGAGCAGGTAGTTCTGTACCTCGACATGGATTAACAGGAATCGCTATGCCGTCTGATGACTCATATGGACACGCTGGTAAATCAAACCTCTCCGTTTACTCGCATGGACCAAAGGATAGTATAACACTACCAGATGGAGTAGGCTCTACTAATGCTGATAGTACAGATAGACAAGAAATAAGTTCTAAGAATCAAGATGGTGAAGCAGCTAGTTCAAACCATCCAGATATTTCAGATGGACTTGCAGCTCGTTCTAATTATTCTTACGGTTTAGATGGACAAGCAGTTAGTTCTAATCATTCAGATAACCCAAAACGACTAATAAATAGTTCGGAACAATCAGATGGTATAGCAGATAGCTTTATACATACAGACGGTAACAACGAAACTGATGGAATCATCCATGGAAATAGTAGGAGGAAACCTATTCCGCGGGCGTCTGAACATGGGCCCGCTGATGCTGTTGATCCTTTTCTGAACAGCTCAATTAATGACATTTTTAACAGCACAATTGCTGGCAATGACACACAACAAAACATCATGCAAAATAGTGGTAACAGAGTGGAAACAAATGCAAATGAAACCAGCAAAGATGCTGTAATAGACGTGTCAAATAATAATAGTTCACCGTTTTCTGATGGTGAATTCAGAAATAGTTCCAAGCAGTTAAATATAACTGAAAACGACAAACGTCGGGATGGCAAAGACGGCCACAACTATAATCCAGATGGTAGCAGACATGGCACTCTAGTCGATGGTTTTGAACAAGCATTTAATGGAAATGTGTTAGCCAATGTTCAGAGAAACAAAAATGGGAGTTTACATCAGCAACTTGCAGCAAATTACATCGAAAGAATGTCCAATGTATCAACGGATACTCCTCCAGAGATTTTTTATGATAAAGGGAAGAATAAAGAAAATGATGAAACTTCGTTGCTAAACGACTCTTTGACCACAATGACAACCACCAGTGGATTGGATGATGACAGTTTTCTTACAAAAGGTGGTTATTTGAAAAATGTTGGAGATGACATCGGAAGAGATGAGAGTAAAATTGATCCTGGTGGGAATATTAAGGGTGATGTGACGAATGTAACTGAAAATGATTATAACGTTCATAACGGTACAAATCAACAAAAGACAGATAATGTAAAACGTTTAGAACTTCATAAGAAAAATTATGATTTTCAAGTGGGTGGTGATAGTGCAATAAATATAAGAAATGCCACAAATTCGACTGATCAAACATTCAGTGAAACCAGCGATGAACTTGGTAAAATAACAAAATATTCAAATGGAACAATCAGATACAATGGTTCAACTGCCGGGGAATTCGATATAAATGATGTTCAAACGTCATCTGCTGAATACACAGGGGACCGAAAATCAATCGCGGAGAAAACATTTCACAACACCAACATAACGTTAGGTATTAGTGAGAATGAACAATCTAATACATATAATGGGTCAAATGGTGGTTCTGACGCTGCAAAGTATAACCAGACAGCTGATGCAACTAACACTGAAAATAGACACGAAAGCACTACACAATTATCACACATAAACCATGGTTTTGGTACCAAAGAAACAAGGAGTGAATTGAATGGGTCAGGAAAGACGTCTGATAATGTAAATGAAAGCCTGCTTAATAACGGAACTATCTTTGGAAACAATAATAGCACATCAAGTGATGATATGAACAGTAATCAACAAAAAACAAATGAAACTACAAGCAGCGTGGCCTCAAACGATAAACATGCTGGGAAAGGAGGAACAGGCTACTCAGGAAATCAGAACAACACATTTGCTCATAAAAAAGGTCTAGGAAAAGAAGGCGTCAATGTCAACATCACAATAAATGAATCTGACAGACACAGTAGTATTGGCCCAGGTGCAAATGACAAAATGAATGATACATCTATATTAGATAATAAAACAAATAATAAGAAATTTGGAAATGACAGCGATATGGTAACTGGTAATGTATATTCATTAGATGGTGTCAGTGGAGCCAACTCTGATACTAAAATATCAGGCAATGCTGATGTTAGTGAAAGTTACAATGCTGGTGATAATCGTAAAGATCAAACGATAAACAGTGGAATGTTTAATGAAGATACAAGAAATACATCCTCAGATGGAATGTCTACGAAATTAAATGATGAAATTTACAAAAATGTGGAAATGCCTAAATCAATAGGCAGTAATGAAACAAATATTGAAACATCCGGGGACAAGAGAAAAGATAATCTAAAGGACGACAGTAATACGCTAACCGACAGCACATCAGTGTCAAAAAAAGTGTTTACTGCAAGTGATGTTATGCATGGAACTGATAGAACTAAGAGTGGTGGACTGGGTTCGTCTAATACATCAAGCTCACCATCAGAAAACGAAACGAATAACAAGCAACCTCCTTATGACTCTACTTCAAAGAATAGCTATGGAAGGACCGATGCCACTGTAAACGGACTTAGAAATGTTAGCACGGGAATGAGACCCGCTAGTCTAAATGAGTTTGGGCTCCATAACACTGACGCTTTACATTATAATGGCTCATCAACAAGAGGGCAAACAACATCAGACAGTGAGCAGTTCCGTCAAGATCAGAAATTAGGTACGGATAGGAAACAAAACAGAACAATGACTGGACAAGATGTTTCAAATCCTAACAGAACTAATAGCATAACTAGCGATAGTACCATTCTAGAAACTAATTTGCAAAATGGTGATTTTCAAGGAGCTGGTGATAGAGCAAGCAATTCCAGAAATGACACACAATTTTCCGATCAATCATTTAGTGTAATCAGCGAAGAACTTGGTAAAAAAACAAAATATCCAAATGGAACAGTAGGATACAATGGTTCAACTACCGGAGAACTCGATATAAACGGTGGTCTAACGTCATCTGCTGGATACACAGGGGACCCTAAATCAAACGCGGACAAAACATTCCACAACACCAACATAACGTTAGGTACTAGTGAGTATGAACAATCTAATACATATAATGGGTCAAATGGTGGTTCTGACGCTGCAAAGTATAACCAGACAGCTGATGCAACTAACACTGAAAATAGACACGAAAGCACTACACAATTATCACACATAAACCATGGTTTTGGTACCAAAGAAACAAGGAGTGAATTGAATGGGTCAGGAAAGACGTCTGATAATGTAAATGAAAGCCTGCTTAATAACGGAACTACCTTTCGAAATAATGATAACACATCAAGTGATGATATGAACAGAAATCAACAAAAAACAAATGAAACTAAAAGCAGAGTGGCCTCAAACGATAAACTTGCTGGGAAAGGAGGGACAGGCTACTCAGGAAATCAGAACAACACATTTGCTCATAAAAAAGGTCTAGGAAAAGAAGGCGTCAATGTCAACATCACAATAAATGAATCTGACAGACACAGTAGTATTGGCCCAGGTGCAAATGACAAAATGAACGATACATCTATATTAGATGATAAAACAAATAATAAGAAATTTGGAAATGACAGCGATATGGTAACTGGTAATGTATATTCATTAGATGGTGTCAGTGGAGCCAACACTGATACTAAAATATCAGGCAATGCTGATGTTAGTGAACGTTACAATGCTGGTGGTAATCGTAAAGACCAAACGATAAACAGTGGTATGTTTAATGAAGATACAAGAAATACATCCTCAGGTGGAATGTCAACGAAATTAGATGACGAACCTCATCAAAATGTGGAAATGCCTAAATCAATACGCAGTAATGAAACAAATATTGAAATATCCAGGGACAACAGAAAAGGTCTTCTGACGGACGACAGTAATACGCTAACCGACAGAACATCAGTGTCAAAAAAAGAGTTCACTTCAAGCGATGTTATGCATGGAACTGATAGAACTAAGAGTGGTGGACTGGGTTCGTCCGATACATCGAGCCCACAATCAGAAAACGAAACGAATAACAAGCAACCTCCTTATGACTCTACTTCAAAGAATAGCTATGGAAGGACCGATGACACTGTAAACGGACTAAGAAATGTTAGCACGGGAATGAGAAACGCTAGTCTAAATGAGTTTGGGCTACACAACACTGATGCTTTACATTATAATGACTCATCAACAAGGAAGCAAACAACATCAGACAATGAGCAGTTCCGTCAGGATAAGAGATTAGTTACGGGTCGGAAACAAAACAGACCAATGACTAGACAAAATGGTTCAGATTCTAATACTAACAAAACTCGTGACAGTACAATTGCATCTTTTGCTGCTGAAAATGAAAACGCAGGAAACGGGTCAGATAGAACATACAACAAAAATGCATTGAATCCTGAACAAACTGACAAAACTGATAAACTAAACCAAGTTGAACAATACAAATCAACTGATGAGTCTGGTAGATCAGGTTTGCAGGAAACAGTGAGTACGTCTACAGAATCAACTAACGAAATAACCAGTGCCGAGGAGGAGAACAAGTATACAGAAAATACACAAAACGACACTAGCTTTTCATTAACAGACACTGACAGATTTGTTGGCGGACGTGAAAACATGACAAATGTAAGAAGTGGCGACGGCTTTGGACGCACTGCTGATGATAATTCGCGGGGAAATGCTGCTTTTGATAAGGCGAGTGGTAAAGACAAGAAAACCTTAAGAAACAAAAAAGAGCAGTTCAATAATTTAATTACTGATCAGACGAGTGTTTCTAAGACGAACATTACAAAAACATTAGAATCTCAAAGAGTTGATGGTCGACCAGGCAATATAGGGAATGATACTAATTCTACCAATCAAAAACAAGGTGATGATGGTAACACTGGTAACCGCGCATTTTACCCAAATGGAAGTTTGGAACACAATTCCACCACTACCGGGCGGTTCGATACAAAGGGTAACCATGGAAACGAAAATATCGGTGGCGCATTGGAGCAGGTATTTGCTAACAGCACTGATTTGAAAATGGATTCGAACACAGACTATACAGGAGGACTCGATTCAAATACAAACGATGGATTTATCAAAAGTGGTACTGGTGGACCCGACAATGCAACTGATGGTTCAGATTCGAATGGTAAAAACATCGGTGTCATCGATAACACATTGGGTAACAATGAACAATATCAGAATGGGACGGTTCGGTACAATAATACCAGCATTATTGATGTGGTTCACGCAAACCATGACCAGAACAAAACTAAAGGACACAATGATTTCAGAAATAAAGAAAGCCCATTAAATAACCTAAACCTAACCTTTGATAATAGTGAGTATGCAGAATCATTTACACAATCATTAATTAATCCTAATGCTTCAACTGGTGGTAGTACAGTTAGGGACAATAACATGACAGCTGACGTCACTAACATCAAACATAATGATGAAAACATTATAGCTTCATCAGTTTCTAGTAATGGACTCAATGATAACCAGATTTTTTCAGAAAGTAGTTCCATTGATTCAAAGAGTAACCTTACAAAAAACGCGACTGGTTACACAGAAATGATGAATATAATAGTTGGGAGTAAGGGTGAATTTGAGACTGATCGAAAAGCGGTAGGTTCAGATGACAAACTGCCTACTAAATGGTCATCATTATCAGATATTGAATTGAATAGTAACAAAAATTGGAATGACACTAATTTGAGAAAAGTTGATGGCAATACCGTCAATGATATAAATAAATTAAGCAACGGCTCCAAGGGAGTAGATAGTGGTCAATTAAGCGAGGTCCGACTTGATAATAATAGTACAAAAAGACAATTTAAACCATCCATGGGCAATGTCCTGTCAATAGGAGTTACACAAATAGATGAAGTTCGTATCCCTAACGGAACAACACCAACTAAATCAGATTCTAACAACTCAAAGTTTGGAGGAATCGACAGTGAAAAAGTATTATCGCTTAACCAATCTGATACTGGGTATGTAACTGATAGTAATGTTTCTCAGAAAGATAATTCCGGTTTGCAAGGAATGTTTAATTCGATCGAAGATGCATACGAAATAAAGGACGTCGGAAGAAAGAAGAAGAAAGAAGAAGAGAGTATGTTGTTCAAAGCGACAAATGATACCTCGGTTAACACTGGCGAATATGCTGACGTAATGCTGCCTAGAATTGATAATAGGTCAAACGCTGCACGTGACATCGGCCTTATTAACACTGGTTTTCCTTCTGGTGAAAATGCATATGGTGATATGGAAAGAGATATAGAAAAAGAACATATCAGTAATGTTATAGATCATATACAAACTAACGATACTGAGCTGATCATGAATTCGAACAAAGACCATGAATATGGATCGGACACAAATGGAAACAAAAGATATATGTATAAGGTAAGTGGAGGACCTGACATTACGACTGACCCTTCACATTCGATAGGTCATCATATTGCTGTTACAACGACAATTGGCAATAATGAACCATATCAGAATGGTACAGTTCGATACAATGGTAGCGTAAACATGGGTGTGTTTCATACAAAAGATGATCAAGACCAATCTTATGTACGTAATGATTTCAGAAATAAAGACAGCTCTTTTCAAATCCTAAATTTAACGTCTGATAAAAGTGAGTATGACCATTTATATACGCGTAATGCTTCAAGAGGTGAAAGTGATGCATGGAACGGTAGCATGACAGCAGACGTCAATAAAACAATAGATGGTTATGAAAATAATAGAGATTCATCACATGCAAAAAAAGACAACAAACATTTAAAACAGATTATTTCAGATAGTAGTTCAAATGATTTGCAAAACATACCCAACGAAAAAGCAACTGCCATTATGACCAAGGGCAAATACATGTTTGGAACTAAGAGTAAGTTGAAATTCAAACAATCCGGTGTCGACTCGTCCAGTAAAGAAAATGGTTCAGACACCGATGCAAAAGATGCAAGTAGTTCTAAATATTGGAAAGGAAAAAACACTGGCGGATTCCTTGCTGAACATGACACAACAGAAGACATACTCTTCAGTAAATATGAATTGAGCAATGGAAATGGCTCTCTACCAGAAAACATCAACCCATCAACTGATGACCAAAAAGGGTCATTGGAAACATATCAAGGACATTCGAACACAACTGGCGAAAACGACATGCCAAATAGCACACTTGATAGATTGGATGTGTATGGGTCGAAGAATAACACATCAAGTAATGTATCGATGATTTATCATAACAACGCGGATAACACCGGTTTAATATCCGATCTGAGTCATCAGCAAGGTGTACATGCTACTCCTTTAAGGAATGGTAAGGGAGACTCAGTGGATACTGTAAGTAGTGCTGACGATCACACTACAGGATTAGCGAGCGAAGATACCCAGATTGGAATCACCGGGGTTAATGCAGATAGGGATGCTAAAAGAGGTCATGCGAGGGGGAACGATCACCAAAACATCGAATACACGATGAACGATGTTGATAGTGTAAGCACAAAGTCTTCAACGAATAATTCGAATAGATTTAACGCAAGTGCAACTCATGGAGGTCTTCATGGAGCTGACGATGAACTAGTCAGTGTATTAATTGGCACAAAGGTAATCCAACAAATCCCCGGTAATGTCAGAGGCACATCTGATAAAAGTGAATTACATCCAAATGAACCGTTAAGATATGATGATACCAGTCATACAAATAAGAGCATAAAAGGATCTGCAGCCGTCATAAACAGTGCTATTTCTGACAACAGCAATACGGGACTAGCTAGCAATAATATCAACAATGACACATCTAATCAAACCGGAGTGACATCAATCACTACAAACAAAACAGACACATATGATCAAACCGGTGAGACATCAATCAATATTGATCAAACCGGAGTGACATCAATCAGTAAAAACAAAACAGAGTCATCGGATCAAACCGGAGTGACATCAGTCAATACAAACAAAACAGACACATCTGATCAAACCGGAGTGACATCAATAAATAAAAACAAAACAGACATATCTGATCAAACCGGAGTGACATCAATCAATACAAACAAAACAGAGTCATCGGATAAAACCGGAGTGACATCAGTCAATACAAACAAAACAGACACATCTGATCAAACCGGAGTGACATCATCTGATAAAACCGGTGTGACATTAATCAATACAAACAAAACAGAAACATTTGATCAAATCGGAATGACATCAGTCAATACAAACAAAGCAGACAAATCTGATCAAACCGGAGTGCCATCAGTCAATACAAACAAAACAGACACATCTGCTCAAACCGGAGTGCCATCAATCAATACAAACAAAACAGACACATCTGATCAAATCGGTATGACATCAGTCAATACAAACAAACTAGACACATCTCATCAAACCGTAATGCCATCAATCAATGAAAACAAAACAGGCACATCTGAACAAACCGGAGTGCAATCAATCAATACAAACAAAACAGACACATCTGAACAAACCGGAGTGTCATCAATCAATACAAACAAAACAGATACATCTGATCAAAACGGAGTGCCATCAATCAATGAAAACAAAACAGACACATCTGATCAAACAAGAGTGTCATCAATCAATGCAGATAAAACAAACACATCTGACCAAACCGGAGTGACATCAATCATTACAAACAAAACAGACAGAGCTGACCAAACCGGTGTGACATCAATCAATACAAACAAAACAGACACATCTTACCAAACCGGAGTGACATCAATCAATACAAACAAAAAGGATAGATCTGATCGAACCAGAGTGACATCATCTGATCAATTCGGTATGACATCAGTCAATACAAACAAAACAGACACATCTGATCAAACCGGCATGACATCAATCAATACAAACAAAACAGACACATCTGACCAAACCGGTGTGACATCAATCAATACAAACAAAACAGATACATCTGATCAAACCAAATTGACATCAATCAATACAAATAAAACGGAAAGATCTGATCGAACCAGAATGACACCATCTGATCAAACAGGTATGACATCAGTCTATACAAACAAAACAGAGTCATTTGATCAAACCGGAATGACATCAATCAGTAAAAACAAAACAGACACATCTGATCAAACCGGAGTGTCATCAATCAATGCAAACGAAACAGAGTCATTTGATCAAACCGGAGTGACATCAATCAATGCTGATAAAACAGACACATCTGAACAAACCGGAGTGGCATCAATCAATACAAACAAAACAGACACATCTGATCAAACCGGAGGGCCATCAATCAATGCAAACGAAACAGAGTCATTTGATCAAACCGGAATGACATCAATCAATGCTGATAAAACAGACACATCTGAACAAACCGGAGTGGCATCAATCAATACAAACAAAACAGACACATATGATCAAACCGGAGGGCCATCAGTCAATACAAACAAAACAGACACATATGTTAAAACCGGAGTGCCATCAATCATAGCAAACAAAACAGAGTCATCTGATCAAACCGCAGTGACATCAATCAATATTGATCAAACCGGAGTGCCATCAATCAAATCAAACAAAACAGACACATCTGATCAAACCAGAGTGCCATCAATCAATACAAACAAAACAGACACATCTGATCAAACCAGTGTGCCATCATTCAATGCAAACAAAACAGAGTCATCTGATCAAACCGCAGTGACATCAATCAATATTGATCAAACCAGAGTGCCATCAATCAATGCAAACAAAACAGACACATCTGAACAAACCGGAGTGGCATCAATCAATACAAACAAAACAGACAAATCTGATCAAACCGGAGTGCCAGCAATCAATGTAAACAAAACAGACACATCTGATCAAACCAGAGTGACATCAATCAATACAAACAAAACAGACAAATTTGTTAAAACCGGTATTATATCAATCAATACAAACAAAACAGACACATCTGATAAAACCGGAGTGCCATCAATCAATACAAACAAAACAGACACAAATGATCAAACCGGGGTGACATCAATCAGTAAAAACGAAACAGAGTCATCTGATCAAAACGAAGTGCCATCAATCAATACAAACAAAACAGACAGATCTGATCAAACCGGAGTGCCATCAGTCAATACAAACAACACAGAGTCATCTGATCAAACCAGAGGGACATCAATCAATACAAACAAAACAGACACATCTGATCAAACCGGAGTGACATCAATCAATAAAAACAAAACAGACAGATCTGATCAAACCGGAGTGTCATCAATCAATACAAACAAAACAGACACATTTGATCAAACGAGAGAGACATCAATCAATGCAAACAAAACAGAGTCATCTGATCAAACCGGAGTGACATCAATTTATACAAACAAAACAGAGTCATCTAATCAAACCGTAGTGCCATTAGTCAATACAAACAAAACAGACAAATCTGATCAAACCGGAGCTACATCAATCAATGCAAACAAAGAAGATGCATTTGATCAAATCGGTATTACATCAGTCAATACAAACAAAACTGGCACATCTGATCAAACCGGAGTGACATCAATCAATACAAACAAAACGGACAGATATGATCGAACTAGAGTGACATCATTTGATCAAACCGGCATGCCATCAGCCAATACAATCAAAACGGACACATCTGATAAAACCGGTGTGATGTCAAACAGTACTAACAAAACAGAGATATATGATCAAACCGGTGTGACATCAATCAATACAGACAAAACTGACACATCCGATCAAACTGGTATGACATCAAACAATACCAACAACACTGGCACATCTGAAAAAACAGTTGTGACACCAATAAACACAAGCGAGGACTATAAACCCGAGCATCAAAACAAACTACCGTATTATCAGCACGAAACAACTAATATTATTAATGAAACTTACAATATTAAAGGTTTCGGTAAAAGTATCAAATATAAATTAAATGAGCTAACTTCAGCAAGTAATGCTCCGGAAGTCACGACATATGTTAACAAAACTAAAATCACCAGTAACAAAAATGATTCAAAGCCATTAACTGTTAAGGAATCTGAGGTTGATAATGCTGTATCAACAACGGACACTTTTGTATCGAGAACAGCATTTAGACAAAACGACCAGCCAAAAGAACACGATGGTGTCAATGCGACAAGAACACGAAAACATGGATCAGAGCAATTGTCAAGTCTTCAGAATGTGTCTACAAATGATTCTGTTAATAGCATGGATGGACTAAAAAAAGATTATGAGAAATCTCAATCAGAGAACAGTAAGAAATATGATAGAACATACACACATGGTCAAGGTATACGTCTAGAAGGCATTAATGTGAATGTTCATGACGTAAACATATCCGATGCTTTGATACAGTCATTGGAACGTGGAAACAATTTACCAGGTATGCTTCCTACTATAACATTAGTTAAAGAAGTACCTACTACCACTCGTAAACCAGGTACAGGCACAGTAGATACTAAGCAAAACTTTGCGACAAGTGTCGTCGGAGAAAAAAGCTCAATAGATAAATTGTATAATAAAGAAAGTACAACAGGCAACTTGATAAAGACTGGAAGTGAGATACTTCTTGAAACTACACCAAGTATTATAATGGACACCACAGATAAATCCAGCAACCGAGGAACCACTGCAAATGTAATGGAATCCGCCACAAATTTGACTGATCCCAAAATGTCGACAACTGATAATTTCAATAATATATTTAGAGATGACAGGAAAACAATTTCAAAAGATAACTTCAAGGGACGCAAACCCTCAAGGAATGTAACATCTGATAATTTATTTGGACATAATGAGGTTTCAAATACTCAATGGAATAGTGATACAAGAGATGGATCTGGAAGCTTGCATACATCTATAGAAAACAAAACAGAAAATGAAAATATGATTTATGATGACAGTGTTGATGGTTTTGGTATGAATTTAACGCGAGCAGATGCGGAACAAAATGAGACTCAAAATCAACTTTTCGATTTACGAAATGTTCATTTTAAATCCTCGAGTGATCGTTTTGTACTTACAAACCAACCAGTGGAATCAAATGATATACCTTACGATGGTCAGAATATTTCACTCACTTCGGTTGCAACACATTTAAAGGATAACAGCTATCAATCCACACATATTACAATTGGAACACATCCTAAAGTCGGCGGGCATTCGTTTGGAGCTGATATTGGACCTGATTATGTTTTCAACTCAACCAACATAGACTTGAATGTATTGGACAATAATGGTACTAGTACAATAAACACAAGGTTCAGAAATGCCGTAAAAGTAGAAAATGATACTGAAGAAGACATTACGATGAACAGAGCGATGTTAAGTGGTTTTGACTTGAACAAACAGTTAAACGATACCATGGAAGTATTATTGGGAACTACTCTGACCTCACCTGAAGTGCAGACCATGGGCCAGAACGAACATATCAATATTAGTTCTGATACTCTTGATGCTGGCAATGTCACAGTCGAAAGCATTGTTAACCGCACTGAACCTTGGAACTATATAAACAATGGAACTAATGACGTAAATATAACGGCTTCCCTTGATGGAAATGGTACTGACAAGGAGAAGTTTACGTTAAATGACGTAAATGTAGATGTTATCATAACTACTGACATACCTACACTTTCCCCGGAGCAGTTGGCGGACCCGAATATTACGGCTTCTTCATATAGTACAACTACCGATCCAATTTCGAACTTCAGTAGTAAGTAAACGAGGTCAAAGATAAAGATGTGTTTATACTTTTAACAAATATGCTTCTTAGGTGTTCTTAACATTTTACAATAAAACAAGGCGAAGAAACAAATCCATTATTATCTTAACAGCAACACAAAATACCACAGTAGTAATGTATTTGTTTTCTTTTAAATACAAAAATAATATTGCTAATATCAAACTTTTTACACCATACGATGAATGTGTTTTTTGCAACATATATTTTCTAAATTACTGCGAATTACTTGTATAACGTGATTTCCCCGGTAGGAAACTTCTAAAAACAGGCAAGAAAAATTGACAAAATGCCTCAAATATCGTCTAATATTGACAAAGTGATGCATCGATATGTAAGCAATGGCACTTAGGTATAAGCGGATAGAATTTCATAATAAGATATTGATAAATATCAAATAACCCGCTTAGTTGTGGTTCACATCAAATGCAATGGTGGTGAAAATGCATTAATATACATGTTTATTAATTGATCAGGAAAAGAAAAAAAAACTATTTGCTTTTTAAGAATATAACCTATCATATGTAACTAATTAATGTATACGATAGAAAACTAATACACATAAGCAGATACTAATGCCAGTTTCTAATACAAATTGATTCTAACAATTACATTAAGCATTTATTAATAGAGGTCATCATATCTTTAATCCCAATTATATATTCATTAAGTTATAAATGCTACTAAACCATAAGGTAAACATCACAGTAACAAAACAAACTAACTGATCAATGCTACTAAATCATGATGCAAACATCACTGGAACCGAAAAAAACTTAACAATTTTGAATTTAATGGTCCATTATAAGCTAAATATGTATATTACACGTGTTCCAACAACATGCTTAAAGGAGACACTACATCACGATTATCACCAGGATAATAATGGAACCAGAAATCGGACGGAGGAGAGAGCTGTCATGCTTCTTTTTACAGGAATTTTCATTCATATGAGGCTGTATTAATTTTCAATACTTTATCAACGGAAAGTAAGATCTGCAATGAAATCATTGGAAAAAGGATTATAGAAGATGTGTAAATATCAGCAACCCCAATTGATGTCTCCAATCGAAATGCAGGCAGACCTGTTCAAATATCTTTCTGTCAGTACAAAAGTATAAAATAGATCTATTGTACATCCACTATATCTATCTGTTTCACTAAGCAAACAAGCAATACAAAGCACTAGACATCTTACAACATCATGATATCACAACCATCACAAAGTACACACAATTAAGATGTTTTCGCATGGCATCCACATGAAGGTAAGGGTCGGTTAAGCTCGCAGCATTTCTAAAACGTCAGCGACTTTGCTTGGGATAGTAAGCAGAGAGCTTTATATTTGGAATTGTGTGTATGTCAATCAATGAAAATGCATACATTTGCCGTTGTGGGCTTATGATCATATTCGGAAAGGAATGCAGCCGTTCGTGAGCCTGACAGAGGTAGATGGTCTCGCTATGGTTCAACGTGTACAGCTTGGTATACGACTGTTACATGTAAACAGTCATATATGAATGTGTACTGTTTTGTTTTGTATGTCCAAATGTTATCACTTTCTCTTGCAGAAGTCATAAAATAAATAAATAAATATTTTTCTGTTTTTTCGTTTAATTCGTATGTTATCTAAACACTGAATGTCATTAGCTATACACTGTGAACATTTGTTTTATTTGTTTCAGTAAAGTTCGTTTCGATAACCTAACCTTAAATATGTAATGTCTTACATTGTAACATGTATCATGTAGATATCAATGTAATGCGTTATGTTGAATAAATGCTGTTTTAAAATTATAAATATATTTGTTTCTGTAATTTGTGTGTGTTCTGTTTGTAAAAGCGGCTAAGCTATGCTATGTCTTCGTGGCAGAAATACATGTTTGCCCAATATGTTATCCAGAAGTCGTTACTTGGTATATGGTTATAGATATGGTAATTGCATGTCAATTAACTCAATACTAAATATTAAATGTAGATATATCTAAATCCCTTTGACTACTATAACATATTATTGTTCATGTCTTCCCAAATTATATTGTTAATAAGTAGTAACATACATATCATTGAATGTTAATTGTTCCTAAAACAAATAATAGACTAAATTTTTGTAATATTTAGCTAACATACCTGTATTGTTTAAAAATAACCTAATATTTCTGTTATAATGAAATGTTTTTGTTCGTGCGTTCTATTTGATGTTTGTAACTACTCACAAAATGCTACATTTCATCATGAATTAGATTAGACTTCTGATTTGACGATTATCTCATTACAGCTCTAGGCCACAGCAATAGGTGCACACCGGACGACCCTGGATCATGCGCAACCGAAGCCGACCTGAAATGTCTAAAGACAAAACTGACAGATGACTACAGATGCCAGTGTGACGAAATGGAATTCTGGAATAAGGAAAGCTGTAGACCTCGTAAGTATTTATATTTCCCTTAAAATGTAATGTTTCCGTTCATTATCAATAATGTTGTTTGGGAAGAGGATTCACATGTTGTTTTCATTTTCTATGTTTAAGATTTTGTATCAATCGATATAAATATATATATTTAATTTTTGCGATAATTGTATTTTTAAATTAACTTGAAAAATAGCAAAAAAAAATGTTACTCACTATTCAAACTATATACATACCGTAAATTATGAGAGTTGATATACTTAATCCACTAAGTCACGTCTTTACGGAAAATATAGCAATAAATATATTAATGGTTTAGTCAGAGGGAAATGTAAATCTTATAAAATATATAAAGTAAAACTATTGGTTTCATATATTGATCTATAGACAATTTTCTTGTATTATTGATCTAATAGAACTTATTTACTGTATCACATGATACATTGTATGTACAATCATATTATAAGGACAAGTTGAGATTAGTATGATACTTATATTAATTGTTATTATTTACGTTTATAATGTGGCATATTAAAACTGATTATAGGTGCTGCCTTTAAAGAAGAATGTCTTCCTGACTTTTACGAGAGCTGTCAGTACAAACCTGAGTTGAAATGTGTCAAATCTAATAACGCTGATATATATACTTGTCAATGCGGAGAAGACGATAGTGTCTACTGGGACTCTGTTGTCAAAGAATGCAAACCAAGTAAGTAAACAACTGATAGACTAGTGTCTTAATCGTGGTACATGGTAGTAAAAACTTCGCTTGTAATGCATTTACTACCATAACGAAAAATCATAATAAAGATAATATACCTGTCATTGTATAAGCATCAGAATGGTAACTGAGCTGCTTTATTATTTTTAGAAACTATTTCAAATTATTATTATTTTGTGTCAAATGAAGCTTTGAAAACAGAACAGAGGAATGAGCTGTGTGACAAATGTATTAAGATAAGCTACTAATCTAATTCAGCAAAGAAAATAAGCAACAACAAGCAATTATGAAATTAACATCTATCATACAAATACGTATCGGTATTCTTTGCAGTAACTAATGCATTTGAGTTAATTTCGTTCCATATGTTCCTGTATATATGTTGTGGTTATACGCCGGTGGAAAAAAGCACATAAATTGTCATATAAAGCTAAACTAAAAGCTAATTTCACCTCATTGAAATAAAATAAAATAAAATAACTCAATAAGTACTTTTCAGTTGGTGAAATACTACGAACACAGGCCAATCGATGTTTTTATTGCTGAGATAGAATCAAATTCGTTCCTTTCAATGTCTCATGGACTGCAACAAACCTCATAGCTTCCTACACCGTATAATACAGCAGGATACATCAAGCTATGATCCTCCTGTTTCATTTCATATTTGCGTTTATCTTGCTCTAGGACCAAACCATGATGAGCAATGTCAACCAGAACTTCAAAACGTCTGTAATCACCATCATCAACTCAAGTGTCTACCTACGACGGCATCGCATATCCACACGTGTCAATGCGAAAATAGGGATGAAACTTACTGGGATTCCGAATTGTCGCTATGTCGTAAACGTAAGCGATATCGAGCATTTTATTGTATATTTGCGTTATATTAGTATTCATCACTTCGAATTCAATTATTTGGATTGATATTCTTCAGTCAAACCATTGTAGTGCTAAAAACGTTTGAAGTGCTAAACACGTTACTCAAACTCTTTTTACTTTACAAGGTTTCAACCATTTTTGCGGCTATCATCGTTCCTTTCTTTATTTTTGAGGCAACCCTCTGAGCACATAGCTGATAGTTTGCACAAGCATTTTTGTCAACCAATTAAAATACAAAGAGAAATTTGGTTCATCATCAACATTCAATAGGTGTTCCATGCCTTGTAACCAATCAGGCATGTATAGTGTTAAATAGTCCTGCAACCGCATTTCATTTTTTTTAAAATAAACAACTACTATCTTAATCCAAAAAGTTCTGCTGTAGAAAGTATTCTCTTTTTCAACGTTTGAAATCAGGAGTTATTTTACATTTAAATATACCTATTATTTTTATTTAAAACATTCTGCAAAATCTGGTCTTTATTTTAATGAAAATTTATTTTATGATTGGAAAGGGTTCAAATATGGTCAGGAATGCAAAGCCAACGTAACAAACAGTTGCTTGTACAATGCCCATCTGCACTGCCTAGAATCTGAGGTGCCCGGCCAACACGTCTGTAGATGTGAAAATGAAACAACTCATTTTTGGAACTCCAATATAACCGCATGTCAATCACGTACGTATAAAAATATTCATTAATGATTATTTGGTTGAATTATTTTATTTTACTTAAGTTTTTATTTACTTGACTCATATATCGATATAACAACAAATCAATTATTGTATTATTCATTAGTTATTTGATTATTGAAAAGACTGATTCAGTTAAATTAAACAGGTCAAGCAAACAGCTATTGTATAATAATGTTGTTGACAATACGAGAGACAACAGAAATCCCTATCAACAAATAAGTTTTGGGAACAGCAATATGATCAATTATGTACATGGTTGAAAACTGTTTTTCAAAACTAAAAATATATACTTATATGCAAAGACATAACAATCAGTTTACTTGATTTATTTCGCATACATATGAGTAAAGTATTACACAAACAATCATTGCATTACTTCAAACATACACAATAAGTTGAACGTTAGCTAATAACAAAGTCCTGCATTTTTAGTAATATTTAGCAATGAAAACAGCTTCATCATCTAGATTATTGTTAAAATCCATTGAGTCTTTCCTTTAGTGTGTTTTGTTGTTATTGTCGCTTTTCATTGTATCCAGCTTAAAATGATTATCTATAACAATATTTCCAGGCCCAGAACATGGTGGTCCCTGTAACAAGGACTTCATTGACAGCTGTAAGCATAACCAGGAACTGGTGTGTCTTATTTCGGAAACGAACGGTGACTATTCATGTCAATGTGACGATGAGGAAAAGAAATTTTGGAATGCCCCGACGAAACGATGTATAACAAGTAAGTTGTTTCATACATTTATCAGACTTACTGCTTCATACACTCATACAGTATCTAAATTCATTAAATGATATAATGAAAACATTGGCTTCGTGCTATGACATAAAATCATACAAGAGTCAATTACAATCTAGCTAAAATATTGAATTATGTTTAACTTCATTGTTGTTGATGCTGATGCAATAAGTAGTATAAACTATTCTTGTTCCTTTAACGAATTATTCATTTCTGCCGAAATATTTTGGGAATTACTAGAAAATAGTTTTTTAATATGACAGTTGTATATTACAACACATGAATAGCATCTAAAACATTGAAATTATGCAGAGTAGCAACAAGGTATATATACTTATATCCGACCATATATCTGCAAGATAGTAAAGATATTATGTTGATCGCATTGGACCATGGTTGTGCCACATGAAAGACTTTGCCCATAGTTTAAATCAGCTTAGAGGTTTCTGAACAATTGATAGGCAGTTTTATCTTACTGTAACAAGAAGACGAAAAATCAAATATTCTTTGCATTTTCATTTAAAAAGCACAAACATACAAGCTCTTTCTCAGATGTAAAGATAACTATTTTCATCTGTTTTCTTTAATAATGCGAAGGATTTGTATATCATCGTTGTTTGACCCATCAGAAATGAGATTTAGAATGAAAAAGAATCGCAAGTGTGCAGCCTAGAATCTACGTTATTTAGTTTTTTCTTTAATCGACTAGAGTTAATGTGTATTGACGATATGGTACTGTCATTCCATTCCACGTGTTTTACTTGAGTGTGATCTGATATTATAAAATAGTTAGGAGAACAATGAAGAATTTCCTATGATTATTTCAGGACCATCTTTCGGCGAAAATTGCAAGCCTAGTTTTGTCGAGAGTTGTATGTTTCCCTCCGAGTTAAAATGCAAGAAAGTGGCGGGATCGGACAATTTTACATGTGGATGTTCGAATGAGAAGAAAATGTTCTGGAATACTTTGTTTGAAGTGTGTTCTAAGAGTAAGTATACTTAACGCGTTTGCGTAAGAAATTTGTACATAACGGTTAATGTTTACAGTGGACTTATAGACGTGTTGTTGTAAAAGGTGAACAAATGCAAAGCTTACAATCCATTAAACTTGTATCTACGGTTGGTATTGATCCTGAACAAGGGAATTTATATCAAGAAAGACATACTGTATATTTTTCATTATTTTATTTTTGACAGTTAATCAAACCATGTTTAAATATTCAATCCAACGCTATCGATTACCAAGCCGCATGTATATAATGCGCGTACATTGTATAACTATTTTCATCGTTGAGATTAACACTCTCATCTTTTAAATTCGTTTTTTATTACTTATTTTGCGGGTTTTTTTTAATTAATTATCAATGTAATTTCATGTAGTCCAAATTTAATCAAATTTGTTAATAAAACATATTGATCAGAATTAACCCCGGTGGTATTGGTATATGTTTAATCATTGTAACCCTTTTGTTCAGGACCAGAGTATGGAGAAGCCTGTGACGAGGAGTTTCCTGAAAGTTGTCTATATTCATCTGAACTAACTTGTCGATCAAGGACTGGTTTTGGTGAGAGTTACTGTCAGTGTGTTGATGAGTATTCAACCTTTTGGGACCCAACAGCCAGAGTTTGTACACCACGTAAGTAGGAAGTCTATATCGCAGACATTTCACTGTCACCACACCAGTATCACTTGATTTGCAGTGTCACACATGACTAAAGTCGTACTCACCCTGTCTTAGTTGTTCGGTTCCCGATAAGACTGAACGTGACAGGTACAACATGTGTAGCAGGAAACACTCCTCAGGGTCACTTGGTTTATCTGACGTTTTTTGTTTTGTTCCTGATTTCCTAACTTTGATTTGGTTCCTCGTCCATTCCTGTTGCTGTGTTTTTGTATGGACCTTTAAATTATGAGCTTGTCCTTTTGTATTAAAAAAGTGATGTATTTGATTTCTCTCTGTTTCATCTAAGGATAAAGACCATGAAATTATGATATTATGTTTGATGATGACCTTCTCGGTCAAGTGATTGATAAAGAAAGTAGGAAACCGCACAGTATGTAGCCAAAAAGTGTATTACAAGTTATAAGCATAGATAAAATGAACTGTAGGTCATGATATTTTAAGTAGAGTTCGCGATACAATGTCTTTTTCTTTTTCGTTTTTAAAAGATCCATTATGTTCTTTTCCGTTACAGGTAAAGTAGAAAAACGGTATAAGAAATCATAACTGATTTGTTACAACACGCCGTACTTTTGAAATAGCATGGATATGTTCCCGTCTTGAATTCACAGCAATCGTAATGTTTTACCTCATTTGGTTTTAAAGTCACATATTAAGTTTATCGATATGTTTAATCAACTTTTTATTAACTTTTAAACAGGTCCAGAATTCGGAAATGAATGTGAACTAGAAAACAGTTGTAAATTCAAATCACAGTTAAAATGTTTACAATCACCAAACGAAGATGTCAAAACGTGTCAATGTGACAACTCTGCCGAATATTACTGGGACTCGAATGATTCAGTGTGTTCTAAGCGTAAGTATAAATTTGCTTTGCTACTCAGTTGATTGAAGAAATACTAAACAATCATTTAATCACAAAGAAATCCATGGATCACGTTGTATTTAAACTATTAGATTTGGTCCGACATGTTTGTCATTATTAATTACATACTAAGTAAATCAACGTAATACAGTTTTTCTTTCGCACGGTTTTATTTTCATTGTTGATAATCCAGTGCTACTTTAAAACAAATGTTTGCATTTATGTTAATATGTATGAATTCATCGAACGAACGTGAAACAACACCGCTAAAATCACCATGTAAACAGTACCATTAATGTTAAGTCAGAGAAAAAATACTATAAACGTAATATTCCACAATCAGGAATACCACTTTATAATCATAAAGAAGCATTGCAGGTTTTGAAATAAAAAAAACTGTACATTTCCCTATTATACTCATATGTCACAGGATCAAGTTATGGCGGTAGCTGCCAGCCGAATACACCAAACAGTTGTAAGAACGACAATGAACTACTATGCTTACCTACTGAGACCACAGGCTTCTTTTCCTGCCAGTGCCCAGATAATGGGACAAAATATTGGGATTCCAATGTGCTCAAGTGTAAATCAAGTACGTCGTTAACAAATTCGTTGGCTATAGATTACTGAACATACCGTATAAGCTATTTTAGAGGCAATTAATTTGCATGTAATAATCTGTTTTGTTTCAAATTCCTACCAATACGTTTCTATGTGTTATACATATGACGTATTTTGAAAAAAAGCATGTTTGTACTTGCACGAAATCAATGTGTAGATACAAGTTCATTTCGCAATAATTGTATCTTCCAGGACATTTGCAAGGATATTTGGTTGCTATTTAAAAAGCATTGCGACATTATATATCTTTGTATTTTAAGGTCCGACTTTAAGCTGATTACTGATTTTGATTCTGCAGGAATAAGTAGTTTGAAACAAAATCGCAAAGAGATGTGTTCTACACCACTTAAATGATTTTTCAGTTTAAAAATCTAATAATGTGTTTACATTATAGCATATTACATACAAAGAGTCTTCATAATCGCGTCGTCACAGTTATCGTGTCGCCAGTTATTATGATAAATGGCAACTATTCATATGAATGCGTGCTTTCAAATGACACGAAAGCAATATTAAATTGCTATAAAAATGTGTTAGGTTGATCATTATATATGTTCAACGTGACCTTTAAATCAAGATGTTAAATACAGAGCCAGATATACTGACTCACTACCTGTGCACTTTGCTATTTACAATTATAACGCTCATTAATCACAATTACTTCCACTTAAGAGTTTTCTCGTGTTATCTTTGATTGTAAAGAAAGATTGATTGTGCATTTATGAAATGTTTACGTCACGATGGCTTTATAAGAATTTGTTTGTGTTTTAGAAGCAACATTTGGTGATCACTGTGATGATAACTTCACTGAGAGTTGCAGCTACCATGAACATCTCAAATGTTTACCGACAGTGTCTGGTAACACTACCTGTCAATGTGGAAATGAAACACAACTGTACTGGAATCCTGAACTGCAACAGTGTCTCAATAGTAAGTAATTTAACACCACACTTGCTCTATAGAGTGTTATCTTGTTTGGGTATTTTTGTGTTATGCAATGTTATGTTCTATCCATTACAAACGAGATGCTTACCTAAAATGTTTCGTTGCTGTTAAAGGAATTTAGTTTAATCGTTACAAACCTACTTATATATGATCTAAACTTAACACTTTACTTTTTAAAGTTAAATCGTGTGTTGTACCAAAGATAGCATTTTCTAACTCTCATAATTAAAATATTCCCCGTATCAGTTTATCAGAACTGTTTCTCTTCCAGCATAATTTGACAAGACTGAAAATAAATTGTAATAAATTGTGTGCTTTGCTGTTTATATTATTGAAATATTGGGTAATTTAAGCATGATGAACATATTTCAATGGTTTCCCAACCTACAAAAAAGAACCCCGACACCACATAATTTCGACGGGTGACTGACAATTTCATGCTTATGTGGGAAATGTCAAAAAATGAATTAATTTTTAAAATTAAATATCAATATAAAAGCTAACAGTATCAAATCATTATTTAAGGTGAATTACTTATATGTCAGATTAATGTGACATCTTTCTTGTTTTTGTACTTGTGAGACTATTAGAAGAATCTTAACTACAAATAAATGTTTCCTATCGCAACACCAGGACCTGAGTTTGGGCAGAGTTGTGATCCAACATTTGAAGACAGCTGCCAGTATAACCTTTATCTACAGTGTTCAAAGTCAAACCGAACTGGCCTGTTTGCGTGCCAGTGCTCCGATACGGACGCATTATACTGGGATCATACAGTGCACACGTGCAAACCAAGTAAATATACATATGTCCCTAGTATCTGTATAACTTATATCAAAGTTTTATTCCATATAATGAAACTGACATTTATATATATATATATATTTTTAAATGAAGTCATTCAATTTTCGTTATGTTTGTACTTAATATCAATCGTTGTTGTTAAATCCGCTTATTTCAAATAGCCATCCGTAGATTATATTCTTTAAATTTCTAAAACAACTTGCAATTTTATTAAAAGATCTGACAATATTTCCATGCTTAAATCCTTATTTTTTTAATCATATGGTATATTAATACATGTTCATTTGTTTAGAACCAACATTACATTAATTATTTTGAGAAAATTTTCATTCTTTGGAAGAACATATTTTATTTTAACTTTTAAGAAATATTGCGATATAAAACGCACAGTCTTCTGGTAAAACCTACACCATTGATTAGTACATATAACTGTTGCTCAACCTTGTCCCTAAATTGATTATGTTAATATTACGGAATCTAACGGATTTAAGTATTTGATTTAACAAAAGTTTCATTTAAAAGGTTCATTACAGAATATTTTATTGTACTGATCATATGTACAAAAGAAATTGGGCAACAGGCATAACCTATACAAAAAAATAACAGTTTAGACACATCATATAAATGATTATATGTATCTTTAAGTATTAAAATAGGAAATTATTTGTACTTTGAATTTGATTGGAAAATACATATTTCAATTATCACAACTTTTGTAAGAGAGATAATTTAAAGGTCTCAAGAATTTGAAATATCAGGAAGTTATTAAGAAGACACTTTAAATTGAAAAATGATGCTATGTCCTCGTCATATTTTAGGGAAACAGTACGGCGATACTTGTAATCCAGAACTTCCAGACACTTGTCAATATGCATCACAGCTGAATTGTCTGCTATCAAAGGACAATGGTTCATTTACATGTCAATGTACAGATGAGTCAGCGTTATACTGGGAGGTTGATTCGGCCAAGTGTCAGGAGCGTAAGTACTAGTGCACTTTATAAACAGTATTTACAAATAATAATTAAGGTTGTAAAATGCAAATATAGAAAGAAAAAATAATTGTTCAGGAATCGACTCGATTTATTTAAAAATATCATTTACTAACATGCTCAATAAATCATTGTAAAATGAAAAACAAAAGGATAGTATGGTTTTTCTAGTTAATTTTATATACATGACAGAGAGTAATGTCAAGATACTTTACAGTAACGATCTCTATGTATTTCACGTTCTCATTTTTCTACACAAATTTATTGATGAAGGTCCCGGATACAGTAGCTCATGTGATGCCAGGTATAGTGACAGCTGTCAATTAAATTCAGAGCTGGATTGTTTATGGGATGATGAACGCAACGTGTCGATATGCCAGTGCAAGGATGAGTCAGTGACGTTTTGGAGTCCGGAAAACTCGACATGCTATCAGAGTAAGTTGATCACAACTACAAAGTGCAATAGAAATATATTTAAACACAATTAATGGTTCTACGTACCACTGCCAAAAGCAGTAACTACGCATTTTGACACTATCTTTAAGGCATGACTATAGCTTTGAATTTTTTTTATGAAAAGGAACTACACATTGAATTTTTTTTTAAGAAAAATGATAGACATGTAATAAACAGAATAAATTCTACAGCAGTGTTCTAAGTGTAAAACTGCAGCGGGGTTAGAACGAGATTCGAACCCTTGACTTCACTCTCGCTTTAACAAATTGTGCAACCTAGTCAATGGAAGCGCCATGGTCAAACTATCCAAACGGAAGTTAAAGAGAGGTTACTATACATAGCAAAAACACAGTGCAGTTCGACAGAGTTCCTTTACCACGTGTTTTATATGTCTCACAGTAAAGCTACCAGAGTCATACAATTGTCGTATTTAAAAAATGATGTATAACATTCAGTGTGATGTCAATTAACACGTCGCAATTAGTATATCTGAAGTATTATGGTTGGTAACGACTGATTTAACAAATATCATTGATAAGATCATAATGGTATTCAACTTGAGCTCTATAACATAGTATTGTCATAATCTCAGAATTCCTTCCTTTGACGTTGCTGTTCTAAGTTCCGTTTTTGTCATTCTGTAATAATGCCTGTGGTTTAATGTTCTGTAATGCTTAAAATGGTGTACAGTATTTTAAACGACATATTTTTGCGAATATTCTAGGGCCTGCCTATGGAGCAAAATGCCAAACAGAATTCCAAGAAAGTTGTATTTACAATGAGCATCTTGCATGTATACCCGATGAATCAGGACAAAACACATGTCTTTGTAAAGATGAAAACACCTCTTACTGGGATACCGTTCAATCGGAGTGTAAAACACGTAAGTCATGCAAGAGGAAGCAATATATGTTTGCAAACTCATAGTTGTTAAATCTGTTTGTTTTTAAAGAACCCTGATGTAGATTCATACGAATTCCGTAGAAGTAGATAATACAACATCAAACACATCATTTATAAGCGTGTTTGGAGTCTAAGGACTCCATTTATTTGATTGTCAATGTAATCATGTTTACATTTCTTTAATCATATGTCTCATTTATTGCATCATTAATGATTATTTCCTGAAATCATATTTTCATTATTTTTAAGGACCTGAATTTGGGGGCTCCTGCGACCCAGATTTCATCAACAGTTGCAAATACAAAGATGAACTTCAATGTTTGCCATCCGGTTCAGCTGGTAACAATTTCACATGTCGATGTTCGGATGAAGAAAACATGTTCTGGGATTTCACTACAAAAACGTGTAAAACAAGTACGACAATATTGATTTACCCTTGCCTCTTCCTCCTACCCCCTTTTTAATAAAATTGAATGCATGAAAGTGAAGACGAATTTAATACTCATTTAAGATATAATAAACAGGACCCAGAATATGCAGGATATATCGTGTTTAACCCTCGTATCAAAAATGTCAAGGATATAGAGCTTAACATGCGTTTTAAGATCACAATTAATTTAACTTTGAAAATTCTATTTAAACTCTATCTTTTGTACAGGACAAGATTACGGATCTCCTTGTCTTCAAGGAATATCAGGCAGCTGCCAGTTTGAAGATCAGCTCAAGTGTCTAGAAATCGGTAACAGTGGCAACTATTCCTGTCGCTGTGAGCACGAAAACAAAATATTCTGGAACCCTTATATGAAGTCATGTGAATCAAGTAAGTGGTTTTTTTTGTGTCCTTAGCCTTTAAACATTATATTTCCCATCTAGTTTTTTCGTCGTTTTTTGGTGTAAGTCCTTCGGCTTTCTAGTTATAACTTTTAGAGTTATTATTGTCGTATAAACCATGCGAAAACTCAAATATCCCGTCATGTTATTATGTAATGTGCTCAAAAAGAATTACTACTGATTGATAAACTGACTTTTCTGCAAGACTGATATACGTTAGTAATTTTTTTTGTAATGTTTACTTGACTTTTTTTCTTTTTTAAACTTGATCGATTATCCAATTTTTCCTCAGGGCCAAAATATGGACAGCCTTGTCAGTCAGAATTCCCGTCCAGTTGTCAGTTTAATGCTGACCTTCGCTGTTTGAAGATTGGTGGAAGAGGAAACTCAACATGCCAGTGTGCAAACGAAGTGGAGACCTTTTGGAAACCTAAAGAGCAAAAATGCATAAAAAGTACGATTATGTAGCGCAACACCATTTTCAAGATATATTATACAAGGGTGTAAAATAGTATTGTCATACGTAACATAACATGCTGGTTGTTATGGTTCATCTTGATGTTTTTGTTCCTTTTCATGTTTCTATTGTTGCGAGTTTTAAGGCAAAAAGGCGTTTTTCAACCTCTGATTTAAAATGGTAAGTTAATAATCAAAACCATTATTCTTTATCAAAAGGATTCGTCTGGGCAATATTCGCACCTTGTATGACAATAAAAAAATGTTAGATAATCTGATACATGATGTAAAAGCACCGAAGGATTCAGCAGACAAAATAATGTTTTTTTTTATTCTTCTTGCTTTTGATACAATCATGACTAACATTTAATTAAAACTTAAAATATGTTCATCTAAACGTGTTAAACTTTTTCTCTGGTGTGCGTGCTTTATCAATGTTTTATGTATCCAGGGCCGCAATATGGTGCATCCTGCAACAAGAATGGAAGCTGTATGTATAATACACATCTGGAGTGTACACCTTCTGATGTATCAGGGGAACATACATGTCTGTGCATGGACGAAACTATTCTTTATTGGGACAAGGCTGTATCTGAATGCAAGTCAAGTAAGTTCCTGATTGACACATAATGCATCACTGTCATATTATCCGATCATCTCAGCCACTAATTAGGCGTTCTTTTTCTAATTTTGTGACACTTATTTTATATAGGTTACAGGTATAACATTAACATCGATCATTAATTTTGAGAATTTAAATAAAAAAACTTCCTGATCTAAAAATTAATGTTTTCCCTTTTTGGGATATTTGTATATAGCCTCCATAAATTAATAATACGTATCGTCCTTATCCTTTTCATTTTGATGCCAGTATGCATTTTTAATTAACACTACTTTAAAGTAGTTGGATGCTTGGCTCTTTTAATAATATTTCACGATAATATATCAAATTCTATCATTATAACGACTTGTACCAATATCAACACAGAAATATCGATGGTATATTTAATATGTGACTTTTATACAAAAAAATAACAGAAAATAATAATGAATAATAAAAAAGTATATATAAATCAATGAGAAGATATTGTAAATATGTGTTTAAACACAGACGTCAGTCACACTGATTGTCATTAATTACTTTCAAACATAAAAGTAATTGTACCACGCCTTATGATATTGATGAGTAAACAATGTTACGATTGTTCTTAACATGTACTTTAGCACACACCTTAACTTTCCCATGTTGATTACCTATGACGAAAATATGTACTTTTATTTGAAGGGCCTGAATACGGAAATGAGTGTGACGCTGAGAAACCTAACAGCTGTAAGTACCAGTCTGAGCTACAGTGTATACCGGCAAGCAACGAAACAACACAGTCAGTTTGCCAGTGTCCAGATAAACTAACGACATACTGGGATTCTATTGTCAAGAAATGTACCAAACGTATGTATATCTATCTTATTATCTATATTTCGATTTCAACTTAAAGGAGTTTCAGTTTTATAGCACCATTGTAAAATCAGAAAGGTCACAGTTCGACATTTTATAGTTCATTTAAAAAAAACACGTGTTTTTAATTTGTTGTATCGATGCAGTTGTGTTTTCAAGATGGTTATACACATATATGGAATAAAACATTGTTCGAAATAATCTACAGGAACAGTATTCATTATATTCTGTGATAAACCATGCATGCTATAGTAATCGTATACATTGTTTGGCAATGTTCAAAAGACAGTTATGTATAAATATCATAAGACTATATCTCTGTAAAACTTACAATTTTAATTGAAATTATATGTGATATTTCCCTTACGCATAGATTTGGTGGGACTGACACATATATATTATATAGTATACAACGTTTGATATAACGCTCTATCTAGCTAAAATGAGCCATTCTAAAGCGCTTTACAGTACATAGATATACCTAATAATAAATATTCATTATCAATTCTTTTTACTATCAGTTTTAAATTGTATAATGTAAAGGTCTTACCTATGGCGGTGAGTGTGATCCAAAATTCCCTGAGAGCTGTAAATATGGTCAGGAACTTTCATGTCTGCGATCGAATTCGGGAAATTACACGTGCCAATGTGACCATGAGAACAAAACATACTGGGACCCAGATCAAACGACATGCAACTCGCGTGAGTAAACAAGAATTAACCAATCTATTTGACAAAGCTGAACTTCAAGTGAAACCTATTTTTAAAGGTCATTCAAATGGATAATCGTCATTGTAGATAACAAAATTAGAATATCAGACCGTTACACATATTAACAAATAGATAGATAGTATCCAAGGTATATGTGACTGTAGACACAAGTTATGCTCTATTAGACAAATCGTTAGGTTGTTTTAAACATGGTTTATCGAGAAATCGTATCCTAACATTTCATATTTGGTAATTATACAATAACATTATTAAATGTTGGACACAAACTGTTTATGCATCTTAATGTTTAATTTACGAAAGTACTATTAGAGTGCATATTAACCAGCATTTACCACTTGCAGGACCACTATACGGAGAGCAATGTGACTCGGGATTGTCAGACAGCTGTAAACACAACACCCAGTTAAAATGTCTAGTATCCGATATCACCGGAAACAGTACCTGTCAATGCGAACATGAAAATTCTACATTCTGGGATTCGAAGGATACGGAGTGTAAAACACGTAAGATTACTACCTTCCTACATTTATCACTAAGTGGGTACTATATTACCGGCGATTTCATGTTAACATAGAAAGCTATTGAATTAGTCAAGTATCAATATTTTGGTTCATTTTTATTCGCATTCAAAGTGATAAAAATAATTGGATATTTTTGAACTGTATTAATTGCTTTGCTTTATTCAAATTCGAATACATTATTCATGATAAAACAAGAAGCTGTATTTTCAAAATCCATCAAGCATGGCTTGTCGTCTATGAATTGTCCTAAAAACTCGAATATAACGCATTTTACTGAACAACAACACACCTGTTCATCACCAGACACGCCTTTCACTCAATGCCTTCTACCTGTATATCTGAATGACCTTTTCACCTACTTAGCATAAAAGGATTATACATTCTAGCCTGACATGGCTTATGGCCTCAATCGAATCAGATAATGATATTGACAAGAAATTAATGCATATGTAATGTAATGGTGTATCCATCTTTACTGCAATGCATGCACAATGCGATGTCGACACAGTTTTGAAAAAAGGCGAAATATGTCTTATGTTCATGCACATTGCCTTAGATGGTTATATAGTGTCAAACGTTATCAGTGATCGTAAGAGGAGTGTCTGATATGTCATCATCCATCATACTGTCAGCCACGCTGTGTCACAATTATATCTTTTTATAGCTACTGTGTCTGTAGCATATCGTGTACTGTGGAAATTGTCTACAGCTACTACATATGGTAGCAAAGTCAATATTTTAACTTTTGTTTATGCATAACAAACTTAACGTAATCGCTATATATTTAGCATTAACATTGATTAGTTTAAAAGATGTTGAATTCGGGACAATTGTATTAGCGTGAATGGCACGTTAAGGTACTTTCTTCTTCATCACACAAGTATTAATTTTTATCAAAATTACAAAGTAAAAATTAAAGTTCCAAAATGTAAATCTTTCAAACAAATAAATATGTAAATGCTTTTCAAATAAAGCTTATTAACCTTATTTCTTGTAACAAAGTATTGTGCAGCCTTATGGACTTTTTTTGCATATATTAGGGAAGATAGGGAGGTTTCGAAAATCAAGTGTAAAACTATTGTTACATGTAAACTTTAGTTGCTTTATCTAGCTCTCTTAATGACAAATAAAAATAACCTTAGTTATATATTTGTATTCCAGGGCCAGAATATGGTACAGATTGTGACTCGGGATATCCGGACAGCTGCTTGCACAATTCACAATTGTCATGCCTACCGTCAGGACAGAATGGGTCTTACGTCTGTCAGTGTACAAACGAGGGACAACTCTATTGGGATACATCCGAATCTATCTGTAAACAACGTAAGTGTTACTGAACCATCGCGAGATACAAATTTTCATATTAATAAATTGTACATTTAGAAATGCATTAAAAAGACGTATCCAGACGTAAAATGCATGGCTTGCATTGTATATTTACATAAGTGATGTGATGCAAAACTGCGAAAATATGTACATATATGTAGTCGCGAAAGTTGAATGGCTGGACAAACAATGGCGATATGGAAGTCAGTAACATTTCCATAAAAACTTGGATTTGTATCTTTTATATCTTTATGTTATATACGTTAATTTGCACGTCGTACATGTATAGGAGACTGGACTTCATAATGGTATCTTTTGGTGAATGACTGATAATATGAGAACAAATTAGAAATATATGAAAATATTGATGCGTGTAAAAAATGTTATTTTGACATCTCAAATAACAGGTCCACGTTATGGGGATGGATGTGATATCAAGTTTAAGGACAGCTGCGAGATAAACGGAGAGTTAGTATGCACAGTTAACGGAAATGTATCTTCATGCCAGTGCCCGAATGAGACACAAGCTTTCTGGGACAACAATGAATCTAAGTGTAAAATCAGTACGTATAATACAAGATCCTTCTCTATGACTGAAACATGTGCGAACCTAATAACTTTCATGTATCAGGAAAGATGCAGGTAAATTGATAATACAGATTATCAACTTACAAGGTGAATAAAGGTATGTGCAGGAATGAATTATATATAAATATTGACATTTCCACTGCACAGAGCCTAGATGTTTCTACCGGGCCCAATGTATGTTATTTCCGTATAACATACAGTGGGCTATTCTGACGTCGCTATGCTTATGACGTCATAACTGTAACGTTGGAGATTGCACTGCTCCACTGTCAACTAGTGGCTGTTCTCTGTATGGATTTACCCTGACGTTGAAATGTGTTCAGACTAATATTATGTCTTTATTTCTGCGTGAACTGTAAGTTGATTAACATAAAATGTAAATATAAGTATTGGTTGTCATATTTTTGACATGCATTGGTGTCCACCATTCAATATGTAGGTAAAAGCCAATGTATGTTACACACCAATGCATGTCAGAAATATGACAACCAATCCTGAAGTAAATGATATAACGCATTATTATATAGTTAATAATAATCGACTCCTGTGAATGCTTGAATATGTTGTTGATCTCAGAAATATTTGTTATAAAATCAAAATAATTTGCATATCCCTTCCCTTCAAGACAACCATATTGATTTTATTAATATTCTAGATGCCGAAGACACAAAATAACGGTCTGACAATTTGTTTCCTTTAGCAGTAGAAGTTAGGAAAGGGTCATTCTGCCTGACGTCTATCTACTTAACGATTTTGTTTTACCACAAATATATCATAAACCCCTAAAGTATTGCTAATCTATCGTATTACATTGTAAACAGTAATATGTAAATGTTTTCCGAATATCTTACCTTTTCTGACTACTTATTTATCACTGTAATGACGTCTTCAACTTACAGGACCATACTACGGAGGTAAATGTGACTCTAAATACCCTGATAGCTGTTCCTACAACAAACAACTGACATGCCTTCCTTCAGAGACTACCAACACTACTGTGTGCCAGTGTAGGCATGAAGACATAACCTACTGGGATGGATCAGTAAACGAATGTAAACAAAGTGAGTCACGTGACAAATTGTTCATCTACCTCGTCATATCAGTAACTGTATTAATTGATGCCGTTAAATATATATAAATAAGCTTGTAACAAGAGTGAGTTATGTGTCTAATCTTTATCTACCCAATTAGGTTCATAAGCAAGAGTAAAAATCAAGTATTGTGACTTAATTTATAACTACATGTACGCTATTATAAACTTTCCTTTGAATATCATGATTAAGATTTGATATGATGCGTTACTTTACATCGCATCATATTTCAAAACAAAAAAGGTGAAAACACCTATCCTATCATACAAATGTAAGTATATTTATCATGACCACGGCATTCGTTACAATTCAATAGGGCCGCGATACGCTGGAACATGTGACCTCCAACTACCGGAAAGCTGTGTCCACAAATCACATCTGAAGTGTGTTTCACTCAATGGCACAAACACGTCAATGTGCCAGTGTGCTGATGAACTGATGTCTTACTGGGACCCGGTTGTTACTGAATGTAGTGAAAGTAAGTTTCATTTTATTCGATTATTTCAAAACTGGACGCTTTAAGTTAAGTCCTAAACACAATAAGATTTGCCAAATGTGATAAAATGCGAAGTTATAAGAATATACATACATTTTGGCGTATTTAATTAGTGTTATAGAATATATGTTTATTGATTATTTCTTGTGATGAAAAAGAGGCGAAATGTAATTTTTTAATTGGCAATTTACACTTGTTATACCTTCATCAGACTCTTACTTTATCGCTTTGTTTTAAACGCTTTACCCTAGGACCAGTGTATGGTCAGTCCTGTCCTGGTAAATACCCAGACAGCTGTCAGTTCAACTCCCAACAAAAATGTTTACCATCTGGTTCCTTTGGCAACCACACATGTCAGTGCGAGGACGAGGTGGCAACATATTGGGATCAAACCACCTCACTTTGCAGGAAGAGTACGTACATATTTTATAATTAGATATTTCCATTCATTGAACAAAGAATATACTGATAGTATAAACATATATTGTTACTAGTTAAATGTTTTATCGCCTTTTAATAAAATATCACTTTAAACGGCAAATCATGCACTTAAACAGGACCGGACTACGGGGCTGAGTGTGATCCTATGTTCCCCGGAAGCTGTGCACATAACTCTGATTTGTCTTGTGTGACGTCAGCTAATAACAGAAATATATCGATATGTCAGTGCTTGAATGAGACTACAACATACTGGGATTCGGAACAAGCAAGCTGTATAGAACGTGAGTATTATCCTGTAATTCCAATATATACTGAATACATGAGGACATTAATCCAACGAGTGACAATTTATTATAGTTTATAATGAATAAAAGTAAGATACAGTGGAACATTGATATAAATTGAAATCATCCAAATATTTGATCGTTTCTTAATCTTTTTATTAGATGAAAGCAAATAACTAAAAGGTGACGTCATGTCGAGCGATGCTATTACACACTGTCGAAAAATCAATGCTGGGCAGCTTTGAGGCCTATACCAATTATTGGAGAAAAAACATTATCACACATAACTCATGTGTATCAAAGTTAAGGTACCACAATTATGGCCGGTAAAAGCAATAATGAAAATATGAAGGTTATTGGAGAAATATCAATTCGTTTACCACAATGTATGTGTATAAAATTGTATATGAAATATGAAAAAAATAATAAATGATGTCGAACAGATAAAATTTTAATGTATAATTGCTAACCAGTAAGAGTTTAGGATAGTAGATCGATATATACTACATTCACGCGTATTGACAGTTTGTGTACCTTTAACCTACAGGACCGAAGTATGGTTCCAGGTGTTATTCAGACTTACCGGAAAGCTGTATGCATAAGGCTCACCTGACATGTGTATCACACGGACCAGATGGAAATTCCACTTGTCAATGTGAGACTGAGGAAGGCACGTACTGGGATTTCGTCAATCTAAAATGCAAAACAAGTATGTATTTGAATGGTGCACTGGTACCTTGTATTTATGTTATACAAGTATGAGCCCTATAATTCATCATTTCTGTGCTACACATTAAATGCAATTTGTTTTCTTTGTTTTTAATTTCGAGTTCGGATCTCGTCATTGTATGTTTAAGATATATAACATTTCATTGGTCTTTTTACCTTCTACATTACAGTCTGTCTTAAACAAAGTCATCATTTCGCATTGAACAGGAAGCAAAAATACGAAATATTACACGTGCATTAGCAATATATGCAAGAGACGCTTTGAAAATTGATGCGGAGTTCATTTAAAACAGGAACATTATCCTATCAAAAACATTCCTGTAATACACAACATCATGGGCATGCACTTTTAGTCTTATGGTTGCGTATCACATCAAAATTGACACAGCCGACCTTTTCATTTGCTCGAAAGATTAATCATATATTCATTAACTGGTATGGAAACTAGCATTAGTGCAAAGAGGTCTCCTGAATCTGTTGAACGCAAGGTAACATAAATATTTGGTATCGAACAGAAAAGGCATTTAAGATTTGTCACATAACTATTTTTCAGGACCCGGATATGGAAATAATTGTGACAAGGAGCATCTCGACAGCTGTCAATTCAACGATGACTTGAAGTGTTTACCGTCGGATCCATCAGAGAACTATACCTGCAGATGTCTAGACACACAACTGATGTACTGGGATAATGAGGTTCAGCAATGCAAGACACGTAAGATAAACCTCAGAAATTGCAAGAAACGGAAAGTAGAAATTCAAATGTGTTAATTTGTATTCCTTTTATCACATGAATGATTGTTGTTCAAAGAAAGAAATAGCGACAAGTGCAACACGTTTTCATTAATACCTGTTTATTAATCTGTTTACGAAATTATAATCATTGCAATATGCATTGTCTGTAGGTACATGTAGCTAATAAATTTAGGTAATAAAATAATTGTTAGAAATACGAAGGAAGCACATATTCAAATGTGTGTATGTCGGTGCAGAGAGCCAATTAAACTTAATATTTCATTGTGTTACAATATATAAGGTAATTTCGTCTTCTATTGTCTCCTGTATGTAATTAAATGTTAAAATAATTCGAACCAATACCGTAATTGTTCCAAAACGTATGCTGAATTACAGAGAAAGGTTAAAGGTTTATATAAAACCTTTTCTATCGGTACATATTTTCAACGATTGGTGTAATAGAATTTCTATTAAAAGCGTGAATTCTAGCTTTGCACTGATGCTGATGTTTTCGTTTCCAGACCATATCGCTGTTTGTTACACTGCCATAGTGTATTTTGTTTACAGATATTAATATTTTATATCTCCAGGCATCACAAGACATTTGACATTTGTTTCTACACTATCGGCATTTCTTAATAGCTTACACGCTTTTCCATACTTTGTTGCATGATACACTAGAAATCGGACCCTGCTTCATTCTTTATTGCCGACATCACTACTCATTACAGATCATGTTTCTCTACTATATTGGATTACATCACCAGACTTTATAGATCAAGATTCGCCACTACGTTTCAGTTCTCATTATTCTCACAGTATCACTGGACATTTTATGTACAGTTTTTTTACTTATTAAATATAAAATTTCGTGTTTATCTATGTATTTTACAGGACCAGTGTATGGCGGTGAATGCGACCTGGGCTTTCCAGAAAGCTGTAGACATGACGGCCAATTAAAATGCGTCTTATTTCAAAATCTAACAATTTGCCGATGCCAAGATGAAAGGGGGACGTTTTGGAATCCTGTCACGAAGACATGCGACAAAAGTAAGATTTTCATTCATTATTACATGCGCTTATATGTTGTTATAATTTTTGTTTAAAAATAAGTTTGAATTTTTAATAAGTTCAAATTATACATGTAAGAATGTAAGACTGGAAAATATAGGTTTCTTTTTTACAGTACATTGAAATTCAGAAATGAATATCCAATCTGTACATATTGATTTCCAAATCAATACAACCATCGTAAGAGTTTGGTTTTGTGATTGTTTTGCTTTTTTTATTTTGAATAGTGTATCAATCAAATATGCACACCTTTGAATTACGATTTGATTGCATTGTTTTTAATATGGTGAATCATTTATTTTTGTAACTGAACACTCTGTTTGTTTTTCTTTTTTACAAGGACCAAGTTATGGACAAAACTGTCACTCTGATTATCGAGAGAGTTGCCAGCCTGAAGACCAATTAAAATGCTTACCATCCGGGTCCTTTGGTAACTATAGTTGCCAATGCGAGAGTGAAAATGCCACCTTTTGGGATAGTATTCACTTTCAATGCGAAGACAGTAAGTGATGAAACCAAGACACGGGGTTGTGATGTTGATATTTCAAAAATGGGTGACTTACGTGTTTCACGTGAATTTTAACGAGAAAACGTTTTATTGTTTTGGGTGCATACCAATTAACTCACATCCTAAATGTCTACTGATGTATTAATATTGTCTGGTTAACTAACAAAGAGAAAAAAGGATGATGCTTTGAGCTTTATTGAAATGTCATGTCAACTAAAAATTGTCCAGTTGTCAACTAAAATTGTGAACTAATTCAATAACACTTTGTTCACATCATTAAAAATCATTTACATATGTCCATCATAATTAACAAGCAGTGTATTTCATAATGAATTTAATGTTGATGTATTTGTAATGAATTGTATTCAGGGTATACAGCGTGTAAGGTAGCAACGCATGCGCACGAGGGTCACCATTGTGTAATACGTGTTAATATTGATATACACAATTTTGCATGATAAAATAAAAGTATAGTTTCATAATAGTTGCACAGCTTCTCTTAAAATCTATCAACTTAAAATGTTGTAATCAAATTCTTACACCGGTTACTATTATGTCTGAATGTTTTCAATCGAAAACTGTTCGGGTCCTTCAGCCATTATGTTAGAGTAATCGGAAAACAATCATATCGTGTTTTCAAATTGAAACTTTGACGGAAAATACCGAGGATTTCCGATTTCTATTTGCCATGACAGATACCCATAGACAGCACAACATCTTACCTCTGCAAAAAAACGACTGTGTCGACGTTTGGTCAAAACTAATTTTGTAAAAATGCATAATGAACAAGCTAAAAACCAAGGATTATAAAATAATATTCTTTTTCCTTTTGTCAATATAATAGTTCAAATGCATGATATTAGTATTGCTTTATTATTCATAAAACTCAGTTTCTTCCAAACTCTCTAAAAGGTGATTTGGTGAATCATCAAATAAGGATAAATTTAAATGGGGTTTCATATCTTCAAAATGTTAACATATTCCTATCAAACTTTAAATGCATATACATTATTTTAAAACAATCATTGTACATTTCATTACATGCTATCAACTATAAGTTTCTTTTTAGTATTCCTTTTTTGCAATAAAAAGCACGTTCATGCAATGCACTTTCCATAGCTTTCACCCTAAACTGTTATCTTACACGCTGAAAATACTACAATAAGTTCACGGTGTGTGTTGTCGTCATGTTATTGTACATTCATACATCTTTTTTACAGGGCGGAAACCGGATACTAAATTAAATGATAATCCTTACACCAGACGATCTGACATCAGGGACGACGGCGCGCTATGCACTTTCCACGTGATATTGCTCATATGCACTTAAATGCATGCACACATGTTATACACACGCTGATTACAGATAGACTTGCACTCTTCATGTTTTTGGTGTAGAAATTATGCACACTTAGATTAGTGACATGTATCTACTTTATTTCAGGACCGGAATACGGTGATAGCTGTGATAGCAACACCCCGGATAGTTGTAATCACAATTCGTATTTAACATGCGTGTTGTCGGTAGACACAAACACGTCAACATGTCAGTGTACAGACGAATCAAACTCCTTCTGGCATAGCACTACAAATGACTGCAGACAAAGTAAGTATACTATTCATTTCTTTCGGTACCAAACGTCATTGATTAAATACAGGTGTATAAAATAAGTTTATTAAACATTCAGCATCGATGAGCAATACAAAGTTCGCTTATATATCTTGCTCTAGATCTGATATGTTTAAAAAAAGAGCAATCTTGTTGAATTTGGAATATCATGAGTGAAGAAATAAATTGCAGTAAGGAAGGAAATTGAAAGACATATTGTAATAAGAAAATATACTCCAATGATAAAAATTTAGCAAAGCTAATTAGTTTTGTAAAATTAAAAAAATCACAAAGGAATATATTTAGTATTGAAATATAATGCACTGACACATACCAATAAAGAACGAATCAATCACAAAAATAATTTGTAAACGTTCTGATTAAATAGGTGTGAACTAGCATTATCTAGAACATGTTGCAGCAGTATGTGACTTCCTGACAAATAGACATTATTAATGATATGCTCAAATTTCATTTTGAAGTTTAAAGTAACAAATGTTATGCAAAAAATATGCGGAAAATTAAAATAAAATATAATTAGGAAAAAGATCTATCATTCAAAAAGAACAACAATTCCTTAATGATATTGTATGAATCAGATAAAATAATTGTTTAGAATTTATAAGGATACGGTCAATGCGACTAGCAATAAAACCTTATTTTCATTGAATGTAGATGTGTTTTTGATTAAAAATCTTCCAGCTACGTGAAACAAAATTTAATATACTGTACATTGTATTATGGCTGCGTTATGTAAGTTGTAATTCTTATTTAACCCAATAGTGGTGTTGTATATGGCGCCTATATATGTATGTGATTTATGTAACAACCTCAAAACCTCCAAAATGCATGCTTTTAATTTATTGATGAAACAGTCAAACCAAGCGTGTGTGGCATAGCAACATACATTAACAAACCAATATTGTGATAGTATATTGTTATTAACATCAACAATAACACTAATGTTGATGTTAATTGTTCTTCCTTCTTTTTTGCAAATATCAAGGGCCATCGTATGGTGGAGCTTGTGTGATTGATTTCCCTAACAGCTGTGCTTACAAAGACCAACTCGAATGCATATTTTCGACAACGACCAATGAATCTGTTTGCCAGTGTGTCAATGAAAGCCAATTGTTCTGGAATGAAGAAATATCGCAATGTTTGAAAAGTATGCATACATAAAAAAAAACATATTAAATATCTTCATTAATTGTGAAATAATAAAATTATGATTATTTAAGATTAGCTCATGACAATTTTAACTAAAAGATTTGACCGTAAATTTATTTATTTTGATTTAACAAATTAGGTATGTTATCGAAAGCATCAAAAACTTAAGTTGAAACCGTATTAAAATATGCTATGTACATCCCGTACAGGACCAGAGTATGGAGATTCTTGTGATAGTTCAAACGTTGATAGCTGTACCTACAATGCTGAACTAGCCTGTCTCCCTGACCGTGTCACAGGAATGCATTCCTGTCAGTGTTTGAATGAAAATGCGACCTACTGGGACCCTACCAAGTCCGACTGTAAAACAAGTGTGTAGACTCTTTTATTGTAACACTATCACGGCGTTAATATTCCTTTCCAAAAAAGTAACATCCCTGCCTTATCTGCTTATGGAGTGCATATGCCACGATCAATTGCTATTCTACATCATTTTTATACGCACTTCCATCAGGCTATTTTTCAACTGCAGGGGTAGTACGGGGGTATTTGTAACAGGCCATGCTTTGGTTAAAACTTGTTTTTTATCAGTTTACTCTAAATTGCAGTATACATTATATGCCTTTTTTGCAAAGAGAGATAGACATTGTACGAAAAGCGCTTTTCTCTCTACTATTAACACCACACTGTACACTTGTGATCTCGTGTTTCATACTAAATTGAGAGTTAACTGTTTCTCTCCTTTTTTATTGGTGTTCCTCAACTCCTGTTTACGGTATTTTTCAAAACAAAAGGAATGTCCAATAGACTGTAAAATTCAAGCTATACACATATACTTAAGAATGTGAATATATGTCATTATCATATGTTTACATCACAGGACCAGAATTTCAAGGCGGCTGTGATCTTGGATTTCCAAACAGCTGCAAACATAATGATCATCTACAGTGCTTACTCTCCGAAGTAACTGGTGCCCCAACATGTCGTTGTCAAGACGTCGACCTTATATATTGGGATCCCGAATTGTCCATATGTGAAACAAGTAAGCTCAATTGCAATCAACTAGTAAATTGAAAGAGTCGAATAGGAAAAATATTATGATGAACAAAGAATTACAATTATGTTTACTTGAAAATATGATGTTAATCATATGTGAAATACAAAAGAAGAGGTCCATGTGATTCGAAATATGTTTTTGTATTCAAATGAAATTACCATATTCCATTGTACAGGATAAAGGGGGTAAATTTCCAAAAAAAACCAAGATGTGTCCTTTTTAAACCGTATTTTACCTAAATATTGTTAACACACAGGACCAGAATACGGTGAAAATTGTACACCAGAACTAGTCGACAGTTGCATGTACAACGACCAACTGAAATGTGTGCAGAACGGATCATCATTCGATTACGTTTGTCGGTGTAGTGACGAGATCAACCAGTTCTGGGACACTGTTGAACTCAGCTGTAAACAGCGTAAGTTCTTCATAGTTATTATAATAATTAGTTCATTATTTATTTTCAGAAATGATGAGTAGCGTAAACAAGCTTATACAAGCCAAAGCAGTATTTCAAACTGCTAAACGGTTTTTCTTAGGTATTTTCATATAAACTTTGTTGATTTTGTTAGCTAAAAATGTTGAACGATTTTGGTATTCTGGTGCAATTCTTTCAATGAGAAATTAAAATTATGTTTATATTCAGTTATATCCTATTAATTCTTTTTTAAAACATTGAACAAGCAAAATGTAAATTTAAATTCAGTATATGAAGGGAATGTTTTTCAAGTTAATGTCAAATATTTACATGATAACAATTTCTGTACAAAATATTGACGGATGGAAACAGTATAACAAACGGGAATTAACTATTATTATTTCGAATAAATGGTAATTTATGTGTTTAGAAATACAGATATACGTAAACGCCAATCAAATAATAGTTTTGTTTTTTCATTTTTGTCTGTTCTTAATGACGGTGTTCTTGTAAACGTTTTGTATACTGTGCAGGACCAGGGATCAACGGTGTATGTGATAGCAGTTTTCCAATGAGTTGTTTACATAATGCTAACCTGAAATGTCTACTCGAAGTCAACACCAATACACATACCTGCCGCTGTGAAAATGAAGACGGGTTTTACTGGGATACCAACGCAAATATGTGTAAACCTAGTAAGGCGTTGAACAATTTTAGTTTCTTATGTATTATATATTGTAAAGGAATTGCAAGTAATTGTAAATCATCAATTGAACAAAAAACTTCCCAGTTTCAAATTCCTAAATACTGCAAAATATGTTGTTATATATTTAATACAAAACCGATGAAACGTAATGTCAAGAAGGCAAGAAAACTTGTTTTCTGTCAAAGCTTAATATTAAACCAAGTAGAATATTTCAAAAAAAAAGTGGTAAAGAAAAACCTTCAACGAGGCTTCACTCTACTTTGCATGAGAATCGAATGAATTACTTTTTGAATAAAATTTGAATTTTCTTAATCATTTGTGCAGGGTCAGGATACAATCATGTTTGCAATCCAAACATGCAAAACAGTTGCAAGGGGTATATTGGAATGGAGTGTCTTCCCTCAACCTCTCCTGGCAATTTCTCCTGTATGTGCAAGGGTGAAACTGTTATGTTCTGGGACTCGATTGCGTCAGAATGTAAAACAAGTAAGTAAATAATGATTTAATTTAAAGTTATGTTTGATAGAAAATATGTAAACTAAATGCATCACGAAAATATAATGAAACAATCAAAACTCGTCTGTATCCTTCTCCCAATTAGCAAGTATTTGATAATACACTGTATTTGGTATTAACGCGAACCCATTTGTATCAATCTTGATTGATTATACGTTCAGTCAAATCCCCAAGCTCATTTATTTTCAAAGAATATAAATAGTTGATTACATTGTCTACTATTGTTTATGTTAAATTCCATGAAATGCATTGTATATGCTCAAGTTAATGAAAATGTCCTCTATATATTATTTACCTTGATGTATTATTATGCTAATTAATTTCGATAGAAATAATAGTGTTACTTAAGCTCTCTTCAATAATAGAAAATAGACTAACTCCCTGACGTTGTAGTGTTTGGTCTTATAGGAGACTTTAAAATGTTTCACAAACTGTGTAGTCAATGCCATATATCAGTATGAAATGATTAAACATGAATTATGAAAAATGGTGTATTAACAATTTACAGTCTATTTTTTATAATATATCAATATAATTATGATGTATAATATAGGGCCTGAGTTTGGATCGGAATGCCAGCTTGATTTCCCCGACAGCTGTAAGAGTAATACCCATCTGAAGTGTCTATTGGACAGCGTTTCTGGGAGACCTATATGTAGATGTACTGACGAAGGTAGTTTATTCTGGGATGGATCTGCGCAGCAGTGTAAACAAAGTAAGTAAATCAACTCAGACGTTTTTGTGTTTCAACCAACAAAGAAAATACTCCATCACATGTTTGCATTAGCTAATGATACGGTATGTTATTGTCCTCTGTACTGTGTTCCAACTGATCTACAATTCAAAGCGAATAAAATAGCACATCTGCATAACTGTCTCTTCCGTGACGAGGAAATCCTACCTACACGTACACGTATATTTTTACCTGTTACCTACGACACAGAAATAACTACTTAATTGAAGCTGACATTCGGACGCATTTTTAACAAATTGGTAAAGTACTCAAATAATCTTTTTTGATTAATATACTAATCATGATATAGACATGGCTACGTTGCTACCACTACCATACATTTTAAAGTGCGTCATATACTCCTTTTGAATAAATTTATCATTAGGATCTTTTCAATAGTGTGTGAAGTTTTTTTCAAATGATCAGAACACGCATGGCTAAATTCAAGAAGGATGTAAAGACCCTCATTTTTACGTCTGCATTTAAGGCTCTTTTGTGCAGACATCATGCACACACCACTCTGTACATCTAAATATCTATATGCATATGGCGATATACATCGTTTTACCTGATGTAACATGACGATTTGTATGCATTTATTTAAAACTGTAACTATAGAAATACCATTATTCATGTGCTGTAAAGCGCCTGAGAGTAATTTTGCAAAAAATTATAGGTCGCTATACAAATGTTTTATATTTTAATGGTGTTTATGATTCTTATTATTCACAGGGCCCGATTTCGATGGTGCCTGTAAGTCGGAGTTGCCAGAAAGCTGTAAACACAATGACCATCTGAAATGTTTAGAAAATGGAAATGGTAAAAGCGCCACATGTCGGTGTCGGAACGAAAGTCTACTATACTGGGATTCGTCCACCTTCCAGTGTAGACCAAGTAGGTTTACTCGAGCACAGACAAACCGTGCTATTCTTAAGATAATAGAAATGTACTCAAATTGTGTTGAAAAGATAATAACAAGTAAACGTTTCTAACTTTCACATATACATTTTTTTTTTATCTTCCGCTTTAAACACAATAGCAAACGTTACAAAATAAGAAATACATGTTCACTTTGATGTTATTGAAATGCAAATACAGTTGTACAGATGTACCTTATTGTTCGTTTCTTTTACATGATAGCCCATCGATATATTATTATAAAGCATGTGTATGATAGAACAATTTATTTTTATATGAAGGAAACCTGTTCATTCTTCATTTGCAACTATTTAAATACGTTCATTTTGTCATATGAGCAACATTTGATTACTAGGATCTGGATACGAACAATCATGTAACCCGGATCTGCCAAACAGCTGTAAAAGACAGGCTCTGCTGAAATGTCTGCAAGTAGGATCATCAAACGAACACACCTGTCGATGTGAAGATGAAAACATACTGTTTTGGGATTCGTACGACACAATATGCAAAGAAAGTAAGGATTGGTTATAATTGTTAATACAAAGCTCTCTACTCCAACAGCTGTATATAATTCAAGCTAAAATTAGAAAACAAATCCTGATAGTGACTACGACTTAAGTATTTGTTTTCAAAATACTCCGAGTTCCCATATCGTTACGTACTTAAAAACATTCAGCAGAAGACACGAAGACACTATAAAAAGCACAAGTTTTCAACTTCAACTTGAATCATATAGAAATAACTTTTCTTTTGATATATGGTATCTGCTCTGATTAGGACCCAAGTACGGAACCACCTGTGATTCTGGTTTTCCTGGAAGTTGCCAGCCAAAGTCAGAACTCCTATGTTCATCCGGAACCAATGCTGCTGGCTTTAGATGTGAATGTGCTGACGAAAGAACCACCTTTTGGGATCCTCAAATATTACAATGCAAATCAAGTGAGTGCAGTTTGGAAACACATTTTTATCAAATGCAACAATAGATGATTGACATATGCTTGCTTGCTTGATTGATTGATGGTTTTGTTAAAATATGATTCAAATGATTAGAGCATAAACCCTATATAATGATGTGATACAAAAACTACACAAATACACATTTAAAGACATTATTTGAATGTTGGTTAAATAAATATATTATTTATGTAGTAATTAAAAGGTCTCGATTATCATCCACTTATGAAATTTTATCTTTTGTTTCTAACACATATACGAAAAGATTCACATATGGAATCGTTTTTGCCTTACAGGGCCTGAATACGGACATAAATGTGACGCTACCTTTGTGGACAGCTGTAAATATAACTCACATTTAGTTTGTATGCAGTCTGATAAAAGCGGGGACTATTCGTGTATATGTAAAGATGAGGACAACTATTTCTGGGACGAAGATGAATCGGCATGCAAACCACGTAAGAATCAATGTTTGATTTAGTATCTTATTTCTGTAAAAAAAAATGTAATTTTGGAGGTTTTATCTGGAAATCATGTAAAAATGTGTTTGGGGAATAATATATTGAAAACATCATTTTAATCAATATCAGGAGTATTTACAATAAGCGTGTATTTCAGATCACTTGGATATCATCCAGCTACCTCCATGATGTATTGGTTGGCAAAGAAACATCGACGTTCATCTTACACGAAAAGATTATATCGAGTTTAAACATTATGAACAAGACCATCACCAAGGTCCCATTCTATCAGTATCTTTGTTATTGAATATGCTTGAGCAAATATGTGACTAGCTGCGTGTTTACGAGGATGTTTATTTAAGGCACTTTTTTGCTAAATTTAATTAGATAAAGTAGCAATAAAAAAGTAACATATGTCCATTTCAGGACCTTCATATGGAGCACATTGTCAACCTGGATTGTCTGACAGCTGTCTGTATAATGGTCAGCTTACATGTAGCCTTACACAATCATCAGGCAATCACACTTGTCAATGTAAAGACGAGGACATCACCTACTGGGATGCTACAATGCAGACATGTAGTCCAAGTAAGCAGGGGGAAACAACTTATTGTTATAAAATAACTTCGCTCGAAAAGGATATTTATTTGTGATACTATTATGTCTACGACTTGATTATATGCTAGCAGAATACAATGATGTCAGTATATCACCAGGCTGAAAGAGTTATCTCTCTAATGGTGTCATCTGTAAGATCGCTGCGTAAACATGTTCATATCGGTGCTGTTTAACATTCATACAAACGTGCTTTTTTTGGTAGCATTTAATAAAACAAAAGTTGAGTTGTTAATATATGCATATTAATATAAAATGGCCTTAAGCTTTTTTTGTGACAAAGAAAAAAATCATAAAAATAGAATCTTATTAGATTTCATTATTTTACAAATTGCTACATATCTTATTTTGTAGGACCGAAGTATGGCGAAGTCTGCGATTCTAACCTAATTGACAGCTGCTTGTTTAATTCCGATCTCGAATGTATCCAGACAGGCACTGGAGATCACGTGTGCTTGTGTTCAGATGAAAATGTTACGTTTTGGGATCCGTCTACGTCGCAATGCAAACAACGTAAGTACTTAATTAACTTTTAATGTATATTTTTATGTTTTTTTCATACGTCAAGACTTAATATGTGAGAAAGTCCTTCCTAACAAGAAGTTTTTATTTTGGTTTTCTATAATACTTCTTTACTATCATATAAAGGTTGAATATTGTTCATAGAAGGATGGATTTTTATAACAGTTTGAATTAGCTAAGTTAATAATGAAGTCATCGTAAGATTCGATCTTTCTTTACCCAACTCCACACAACTTTTTCTAGTTGATATCCTTTTGGCGAAATTTCTGTAAATATCTAACATAGTTATCTGAGTCATACATATATATTAATTTACCCCTCTTGTCGAATCATCACAGGCAACATACAAATATGAAAATGATGTATTTAAATAATATTTCGACATACAACCAGTATAATTTAAAAAAAAGTAAGTTTGAAGGACTTAGAAGTTTAATAGAGATACAGTTAAAATTCTGCCTTTTTTAATTTTTCAGAATGAATTGGATAGAAAGCGTAGTTAAACAAGATTTCACCTGTGAAATTATCTTGCGAAATTATGGAGAAATTTCAATAAATCGAGTTCATGAGACAAGATGAATACACAGTAATAATCCACTCTACTGGGCCTCATTTATTCATATTGAGTAATCATAGCACTTGTAAAATGTTTAATCAGTCTATGTATTTCAATCATACAGGACCGCATTATGGATCCGGCTGTCACCCAGATCATCCTGAAAGCTGCCTCTTCAATGATCAACTGCAATGTGTGACATTAGAACATGTGAATAAGTCCACGTGTCAATGTGAAAACGAGACCACCTTTTACTGGGACCACACATCAACTGAATGCAAACCACGTGAGTATCTATATACAGTCCTTATTAACAGTGAATTTCGATTTTTTGGAATACCACATACACAATTTAAAATGTTTGTGACGTCAAAACGCAGTTCCTCAAGTGTTTTCTAACCTCTTTTTAACATTTAATCTATGAAACAAGTTTGTCTATTGGTTGCTTTGCTCTGAATACCTATATTTTACATAAGACCATCCCTTGGTTGTTTCTTACCAGGACTTCAATACGGCTCTGACTGCAGTCCAGATTTATTGAATAGCTGTCAGCACAGGTCGGACCTCAAATGTGTGCTCTTAGGTAACACGAGTCGATACACGTGCCAGTGCGCGGACGAAGATGACACCTTTTGGGACGGTGCCACACTTTACTGTTCTCCCCGTAAGTATAAATATATCAGAAATAAGTCAAGATCAAATTTAGAATACAGTTAGAAATAGCGGACGACTTTAGCGTGTCCCAAATAGAATATATTACAGCGAGAGTAAGATAAACTGCTTTTGTACATGTACTAGAAATAATTGACCTTACAGTGGTACTCAGACATTTGTGTTACTTTGGTTCTCACTGTATCCCGAGACCTCGCTATTGCCAAGTATTAACCGGGGCTCTTGTTTTGTCAAGAAATTCTGATCCGTATTTTAAGAAACTCTGACTGCTTTGCATAATTGAACAGGCTATAGATTTTTTTCTTCAACGTTTTCCTATTTTGTAAGACCTGTCACGGCATGAATAAGAATACTTCGGTCTCTATATTTTCATACTGAACGCGTGAGTTGAACGTTATATCTGCTGGCCTAAACTGCAGTCAAAACTGCTTGATATGGACCACTTAGTTATTTTCCATTATTAACTATCACCGCTGACTTGTTCAATATTGGTGATACCTTATGTTTAAGAGTTTTGAATCATTATTACATTTTAATGCTCTAATTATTTATATATTTGTATCATTTACAGGACCACACTATGGGGATCGATGTAATTCCGATTACACTGATAGCTGCAGGCATAACTCAGATTTAAGCTGTTTACCTTCTTCTAATTCTGAAAATTTTACATGTCAGTGTAAAGATGAGAATGACACCTTCTGGAATAAGAAGACGACATCATGTGTTTCAAGTATGTACAAATGTTTATATTTACTTTAACGAAATATTTGTTTTATAAATAAATAAAAGTTTAATTATCAAACATTAATTATAGATATACATTGTATCTAGAAAAACAAATAACGCATTGTTTCGTTTGTCAATGAAAAGAAGTACGCCGTTTAAAAGACATATCAATAACAGCAACGTCGGTACCGCAGAAGTATACTTGCCTTCTCACGAACGCCATCAATTCTTTTTTTCGAATTGAAAATTCTCATTGTACTCTGTATACGATAAATGTAATGTCTAAATTGTAACATGATCAAGATTGTCCAAGGATCTTTGCTTTATCCCTCTTACAGTCTTGACTTTTATCTTACTCAAATAATTTTATTAATCGAAACTGATATTTATGATACATTGTATTTTCATTCCGTATACAATAACATTTCGACATGTTATTCCAATAGTGTATTATATAGTAAAGATATTTTGTATTTGTGTAAATACCAGGACCTAAGTACGGGGATCAATGTAAACCGGACCTACCAAACAGCTGTGTATATAACAATCACCTTCAATGTAAAACGGACGAAACATCCGGCAACTCAACATGTCAGTGTGTAAACGAAACGTCTACGTTCTGGGAATCAAATATTTCGGAATGTTCTGTCAGTAAGTAAAAACATTTCAAGTATATTATCGTGTTGGTTGTGAGTTAGTATGAGAGATATTAGAATATATAATATTATTATAAATCAGCTAGTTTGGATTCTTTTGCAAGCTACAACCTGTGTGAAAATGTAGAATACAAAATCAACTCCAGCGTTTATATATAAGCAAAGTATTAATATTTTATCTTCTGTATAATAAGACCAGAGTTATTTTTACTCTCCTAGTGACTGTGACAGTATTTGTATAGAGTTTTGACGTTCCTAAGAGTCCCATAAAACATATTTCCATATCTGACTGAGCGTATGCAAAAAAACTTTGAATTCTTCATACATTACACTTTATATGTGAAAATAATTTACTCTTTTAAATGTCACAAACTCACGTTTTAATTGTTGCTATGTTTTTTGTAGGACCAGAGAACAGACAACGTTGTGACCCTCAATTTCCGGACAGCTGTCATTTTAATTCGGAACTAAAGTGTTTATATTCGAATGAAAGTGGGCAGCATATCTGTCAATGTTTCAACGAAGTTTCAACGTACTGGATGGACGATAACAGCAGATGCGAAACTAGTAAGACTCGATATTTGTCACCGTGCTTTGCTAATATTGAATTGCTATCGCATTAATAATATTCTGCTATATATTTTCTAAAACTAACGCAAACAACAGTATATGTCAATGTATGTAGAAAGCTGGTTTGTTTCTCCCTAAACTATAATTTTATTTTTTCATTTCAGGACCTGAATATGGAGAAGAATGTCTCTCTGATTATAACAATAGCTGCCACCATAATAGTTTCCTGACGTGTGTAGTATCTGAAACGACAGGGAAAGCATCATGCCAATGTTTTAACGAAACAGCAACATTTTGGGAATCAGCAAAGTCCGAATGTAAACCCAGTAAGTAGATATATGCCATTATCCTTTTAATTTAATCGTGATACATTAATTAGTATGAGAAAAACTGAAAATAACAAATAATTATACGATAATTATTATATTTACTAAGGAACAAAATATCCTTGTGTTAGCGATTTGCGTATATGATATTATAAAGTAACAATAATACCAATTTGGTAATGAGACTTTAGATAAATCATAATAATATTTAAATGTACTCGAAGCGTGGTATTATACAAACTGTCCATTAATCTATTTCCAGGACCGGAATACGGATCACCATGTCAAGCAGAGTTCCCAGACAGCTGTAATCCGCAGGCAGCACTGGAATGTTCACTGTCCAATGAGCGAGACACTCATGTGTGCCAGTGCAAAAATGAGAATATGACATTCTGGAAATCTTCGAAGATGGAATGCGATATTCGTACGTTGTTTTTAATTTCATATCAGAATGCTTATTGCTTACATTTATGTCTTGTTCAGAATCCACACTTTGCTTTAACGAAAAAATGAAATCTTTGAAAGATAATCTACCTGTAACATAATATATTTATGTAACTAGCACTGAACTAAAAATACAACCAAAACGACTAATATCTTTATATTTATGGTACGAATCGCTGATTACCTTTATTATATTCAAACAGGACCTTCGTATGGAAACGATTGTTTACCAGAATATCCAAATAGCTGTGAACACAAATCGGAGTTGCAGTGTCTTTATTTAAACAGTTCTCAAACATATGTGTGCCAATGTGCAGAAGAAGAAACAACGTTTTGGGATCCAACATCTACAATATGTAAATCACGTGAGTGCTTGGTCTTGACATGCTTTATTTCTTTGAGCAGTTCCTTGATATAATTAATGTTTGTGTTTTCTTAGATTTAATTTAACTCCTTATTTAAGCGTTTTTATAGGAATGAAACACAATCAGGAACTCGATTATGATGCATAGGTAAACGTTTCTTCAGAGTGTGGCAGGTATTAATTGTACATAGGATTACGGTCGCCTTCTAGTTTCGAGCTAGAGGGAATTTCCCTTTAGCTCATTGGTAGAGAGTCCGACTAGGAACCTGGAGATCGAGGGTTAGATCCCAGGTGGAAGTACACTATTCTCTTTCCTGTTACAAATGGTGTCCGTGACCCTCCCTGTGGTGACAGGGAGTTAGAACCTGGGTTGTGGTGTTCGAGGGCGAACTCATTTAAAAAGGGAGGAGTACTGTGGCAGGTTTTAATATGGCCTGCTCAGTTGTCCCTCTCGTGGAACCAGTAGTACATTTTTTATCAATTCGAAGTTGTTTTTGGATATTTTGCTCCATATTGAGTGCAGAGAACCTAGTTTCGTGTTCGTTATGTTCTGGTAATTATGATGATTGGTATTCAGTTGGTTTTTTTTGGGTTTTTTTCGGTTCTCGTTGTTACAATTTTATCAACTTGAAGTCCTTAGTTTGTTTGGTAGATAACAATGTGCTATATTCGTTTTCGATATTATGACTTACTAGATTGTATGATAAACGATTTTGTAACAACTGTAAGCATCAATATCATATACATATATTTAACAAGGTCACATATACCTGTATTGTAATTATAGGGTCACAATACGGTGCTTCATGTCAGTTGGACTTCCCGGAGAGCTGCCAACCCCAATCTCAGCTGGAATGTCTATCGTCAGATGGCGCAGATAATTCTACTTGTCAGTGTCGAAACGAAACCGCAACCTACTGGCATCCTGCTATTCAGCAGTGCAAACCTAGTATGTGTATACTATTTTACCCATCTTCAAACATCATCAATATATTCTTAACTGATTGAAGTGGAGCTACGCTAGTAACTAATACATAACTAAATATTCTATATTTATATACATGATTTTGTCATCTTCCTGACATGATGCTCATCTTGGAATTTCAATGTCTAACATCTTCAAATATTTCGCTGTTTCATCATATAGCTCAAATAATGTTACATTGTTTACTTGAAATGATAGTCAAGAAATGAATAAGCTGTTGTAGGCATCTTTCATGAATTTGTAACGTTATAAAGGTTTTTTTGGCATATTTCTTCTTTCCCTGTATTTCGAAACATATTATGAGGGACATTTCTGGTTATTATGTTTTAGATCATTGATTATCTATATTCCTTCCCGTAATTTCGGTGTTCTATTTTTCCTTTTGTTTTGGTATTTCTTCAGTTCCTTTTGCTGTATAAATGTATCATTATTCCCGATTGAGACCTTTTGTATTGTGTAACTTTAACATAATAACCTAATCGGACTATTATATTTTGCTATGGAAGACGCTTCATGTCTTAATTTTGCAAACCGTAGAGTCATATGCTGAGGGCAAAGAGAGACATATACATTGGTACAGTGCAATTGATATAGATTTCATATAATATGTTGCGAGACACTGAGTTGTAAATCAATTCAAGTTTCTACAATGTATTTTGGGCACTGGAACTCTCCCCCCNTCAAAATTTGTTACAGGGCCTCAGTATGGCGATCCTTGTCTTGGTAATCTAATGGAAAGCTGTATACACAATACAGAGCTGAGCTGTCTGTACTCAGAAGACACAGCAGAATATGGATGCAAATGTCACAACGAAACAACGTCATATTGGAATCCAGCGGAACATCAATGCAAAACAAGTAAAGCATTGCTTATGTCTAACTCATTCATTTCATTGGTTCTATAAAAGTACTTTAGAGGTTTCCATTCATATACTTGTGAGAACTGTCAGATGTATTTGTCATTTCAAAGTCCATATATACAGTTCATATGTTTTCACCGGTGGGAAACTGAAAGTCACGAATCAGTCATTATAGCCATTTTTTGATATTTTCCTTAGCTTCAATCAGTTCTTCATTTCTGACCGTTGTCAGAAAGGACGGGTGCCAATTTGAGCCCTATGATGGCTATCACATATCCCTTCTTTTTTATATATACTGATGGTTGTGCCAAAACATATAAATTATCGGTGATAGCAAACAAAAGGCCCAAACTGGCAGCCATCCTTTTGTATAATTTCAACTTAGAGTTATAAAATTACGAGCCACGACGTCACACTAATCCCTCTATCATTTCATGAGAAAAACAACGTATCTCTTTATGAACGATCATGTTTTTATGGTTTTTTTTGTGTTTTCCTGATAAATTTATCGAGAGAAGCATATTGTTGAAACTCGGAGATTATATGTGAGAACATGTTCACAATGACTGTAAATAATTATGAATGGTTTACAATAGGAAGACAATGTAGAATATAAATTGAATGCATTGCAGGACCTGAATATGGTTCAGGTTGTATGCCAGAATTTCCAAGAAGTTGCAAGTTTACAGATCAACTTGAGTGTGTTATATCAGAAGAAGGAAATGCTACCTGTCAGTGTCGCAATGAGACCAGTACATTTTGGAATACGGACTTGCAGATCTGTACGCCGAGTAAGTAAACGCAAAATTTTAGGGCGATGCAGATGTTTGTACAGGATTTGATGTGTCTTTATGATAGGTGGAATTTTCAATAATTCCTGAACATTCCTCCATTTCGCTGGAAATGTTTAGATGAAACATGATCGATTAAACTAGTTGGGTTTTCCAATCTGCGTTTATTTAAAATATCAGGCATTTGCGATTGTGAATTTAGTTGAAACTTCAAAGAAATACGTTGATTGTTGCTTTGTACCACCCCACTACCATGTCACAACCAAGATACGGTAGCGTGCTTTTCCATTTGGTCAAATTAATTCTACAACGTTTCCAAGGAAACAATAAGAAATAAATATAAGGGTAATAGATTTAAAATTAGACGGAAGGTTATGTGATCACGAGACAGTAAAGTACTGTATGAGACTTTATTCTCTGACTTTTTTTCCAATGGGATGATGCATTTTTTATATACAACCTGTGTATCGTGAGAACATAGCAGATGATTTGTTTATCAACGTCCTCTTTTTGTGTGCCATACAATATATGTTTGGGATAAAGTCATGCAAAATTAACCGCGATATGATTTTAAAGTTATCTTCAAATAGAAATATATAGCTATTTTGATGAAGAAAAGTGTTGTACCTTCCATTTGAAGGACCTTCACATGATGGTAACTGCGACAAATCATTCCCAGAGAGCTGTCAACCTGCGAGTCAGTTGCAATGCCTGCCTGCTGAAGAGGGTAATAACTTCAGCTGTCAATGCAGAAACATCTCCGCCGACTTTTGGGAAAATGACAGTCAGACTTGTCAACCACGTGAGTTGCGCAATAGTTTAATGATCTATGACTGCCTTGTCTACTAGTGAATATCACTGGTACATTAAAGAGGTTAGATTTACACTGTTGTCCCACTCATCCGTTTGTAGTATGTTTGTTAGCCTTTTACATCATATCGAAAATATCGATATTGAGAGCAAAAGCATTAAACCTCCTTTTCTTAGCAGCTTACTTCATTTTTTATGTATACGCCCTTCGTATAAAAATGTAAAGCCATATGGCATATTTAAAGGTACTTTTTACCAATGGTTCGGTAGGACAGCTTACACTGCAGGATTTTTCCTTTATAACAGCGAAAATTCCAACGACATTTAAACAGAGGCAATCTCAAGCACAGCAATTTTTATTTCGTTTTTTGCCAGTGAAACATAAAGTGTTACAGTGAAAATTTAGTGGACTAGTAGTGTGAAACAAAGCCCTTTTTATATTTAAACACTAAACCGACTTATTAGAAATCCGGGTTTATTGCGAAAAAATTGGCAATCGGAATGGCTGCGTCACGAAGGCCCTGATGGCCTCCTTTCATGTCGTCTTGTTTTAGTTTCCTTTTCAATATATTATGAAGGGATATGGATCATCTCAGATATAATAAACAGAATATGTTTTGTATCAGAACAAATAAATAATTAACCTTGCTCGTCATTGAATCGGTGCCTCTATAGTCAAAATAAAGGGTCAGTGACAATTTGTTATAGGTTTTGCTTTGCATGATAATTTTTAAAGACCTAAAAGAAAAAAAGTATAATAGAATCCATCCCTGATGTAAGGTATGAATAAGGTAATTTAAACCTAAGGGATAATATATTGAGCATTTGACCCGAGGCCTTACTTATTACCTACAGTAAAATTGTCAACTGTCTGCACAATTCTCATTTGCATAAGAAGCCCGGATCTATCTACCATTCGTGCCTTATAGGATTATCATTATAGATATAACTGTCAACTGCTGTATTTAATTTATTTCCTTTTAAGAAAAGCAATCTCATATTGCAATATTATTGATGTTCTAAATTATGTCATTGTCTTTACAGGGCCATCATATGGTGATGATTGCGACAGGACATACCAAAACAGTTGCGAACACAACAAACAACTTACGTGTAGTAAAGACATGAAATCAGGGAAATATGTGTGTCAGTGCGCAAATGAAAATCACACGTTCTGGCACGATTCAACTTCAACTTGCAATACACGTAAGAATTGTTTTTCAGCACAATTTGTCGTGTAGACAAATTATGATTTTTGAATATATAATGCCTTATAGGTCATGTATGCTCATTTTAATATATATCATCAGCGATGCTTGATGCGGACATGTTGACCTTTGAAACTTTTATATGACACAAACACCTATATAAATATAAACAAGCAATAGCTAAAGAAAAATAATCGGGGGAGGGATGCGACTGAGATAACCCTTATCCTACTCTTAAATGTATATCCAAACTTGAATACTAGGAATATTAAGAATGCGGTCAATAAATCGATAACTAGGTTTATGGAAATCCGTAACAGGCATCGACGAAGTGGTACTTATTAAAGGCAATATATTTATCTAAATCAGTGCAAATTACATACATCCAACAAGTCTCATCATCAGACTAGTATGACATAAATGTTAGATATGTATATAATCAATTGGTCGACAAATATTGGATGGTAACGTGCTCAACATAAACTATATCGATTCAACTAAAAGAAGATTTTATTAAATATTTTGAACATGTCTCGATTGTCACAAGCAATGTACATGCTATATAAATGGGGGAGGGGGGCAAAGAGATGCTTAATAGTTATATTTACTGAAAATGTGCTCATTTTACTTAGTATTTTTTTTGGTTTACTGTATTTGTTTTAAACAATCTTTTCAACTTAATAGGACCAGAATATGGAGACACATGTTTACCCACGTTTCCTGGGAGCTGCATTCACAATGACCAATTGTCGTGTTTACCAACACATGACGGGAATTACACGTGCCAGTGCACGAACGAAACATCAACATACTGGAGTCCAGTTGACGCCAGTTGCAATGCGCGTGAGTGGGCGATTTAAATATAAAGTTATGTAACATGTTTATCTATCCTCAAAAGGTAAACTGAAGCAAACGTTGCAAACAATCTCCTTTTGGTATTGATAAGACTTATGAGATGAAGCCTGTCATTTTGACTGTTGGAAATAGCAAGGAGCGTATATGTAAATACATTTTATCAAAAGTCCATGTTTCGTTCGGTCATCGTTGAATTTTTGAGACAATAAACCTTATAATTACAATTCTGACGAATAACATGCATGATGTTTATGTTATTTTACAAGATTCTTTGTCTATTGCAGGACCTGCATATGGACAGCGATGTGATACCAACCTGACGGATAGCTGTTCACACAACTCTCAGTTGATATGTATTGTTGGTGATGAAGGAATTGGCAGGTGTAACTGTCAGAACGAGACTGCTGACTTCTGGGACGACCGAACAGAAACATGTGACCCACGTTAGTGTTTTTATGTTAATCTGATTATTATATATACGATGTTTGCTTATTTGATTTTTTTCCGAAGATGTATGAAAATTGGTATATAAATATGATAAAAGCAGCGTAAGAACGAGTAGAGCACATGGGGTAGGACATAGCAGTTGAAAACATTTGATTTTTGAGAAAAATACAAAGTCGGTAGTAAATATAAGCATAGGATAAATAAACATGTCTACATTGATTCTGACAATAAATCTTATCTCAGAAAAAAGCTTATTTTCCCCTACAACCATTCTTAAAATGGCAAAAAAAAAATCTATTTTCTAAGTTTGTGCTTTTCAAGCTTAACTATCAATGTGCTTATTGAAATGTCTGTATTTGTGATTGATTCATATCTTGTGAGCGCGTCAATACACTAATGGGCTATATAGTACAAATATGATAAAACGTTAACATTTTAGTCCGCAAAAAGATAGTACGTTGGCTTGCAGTAAAATATCTATAAAAAAATATAAAGCTGATGATGATGATTTCACTCTTGGTACAGGATTCGAATACGACCAGACATGTGAAGTTGGGGAAATGAATAGCTGCGTTTTTTCGTCGGAACTGCAATGCTTGTTATCGTCCCACGGAACTGAGTATACTTGTCAATGTCAAAACGAAACATCAACATTCTGGGATTCATCAATGACGAAATGTAGACCAAGTATGTATATTTCCTCTGCAACATAATAGCACAGATCTGTTAATTTTCACTCATGTTAATGACATGATACTTTGTTTCTGATTTCACATAAAAATATATATTCTCACGATTTTGATTGAAAAGATATTTTAATAAGTCATAAAAGGGTACACCTGTTCAAATGTGTTTAAAAACATAAGTATTATTCATGAATAAATACCTTATATACATTTTTTTTTTTTTGAAGGACCTATTTATGGAGACAACTGTTCCGCCTCATACCCAGATAGCTGCTTGTCAAATTCCCAACTTACTTGTTCACTTTCGTACGAAACTGGAACTCATGTTTGTCAATGTGCTGATGAAAACACAACCTTTTGGGAACCTTCGATAAACTCCTGTAAACAGAGTGAGTAATATTTGTCAATGTAAAATATAAACTGCGATCCCTACTGTGTGCCATCTTGCAGAAACAAATATTGTATCTAAAGCGTTCATAGAAAGAAAGAAAGAAAGAAAGAGATATTTCCAAGCGCATACTTGAATTAATGGTTAATGTGATATTCATTTACAGTAACATTTTCAAACTATTTGGAATAAGGTTGGTGCGGGAAACGCAAATGCAATTTAAAAGTGTACCAAGAACGTTCGACCTATACCCCGGGTCTTGTTTACCTACCTGATGACAGGAAGCGGTCGTTTGGAATGCATGCATGAACTCCTCTTCCCCAAATAAATAGGAGAAGAACGATGCAGATTGGGTTTATTTGTTTTCCTCTGGTATCTCATTAGGTACAAGCCTCATAAATATATGTTATTGATAAGTGATAAGTTCTTCTGACGTCGACACTTCATTGTCCAATATGTAATGTTTATGTTGACTTTTTGTTGCCTGTTTTGCAATTCAGGGCCAAGTTATGGTGACGTGTGCGATGCAAATTTCCCTGACAGTTGCTGGCATAACAGTGATTTAGCATGTATCGACACAGGAAATACTGGGAACCCATTATGCCAGTGTAAAAACGAAACTTCAACCTATTGGGATAGCACGTTATTACAATGTAGATCAAGTAAGTGACTTTTAATAAGTAAATATAGTTATGATCTATTTCCCGTATCAACTAATAATTGAAATTGCTTTTGCGATACATTTCATATGTCATTGGGGATTTCTATTGGATTTTTTACCAATGGAAAACAAAAAGAAAAAACTACGATTTTACGATCAGGTCAAACATGTGCTGACTAGAGAATCGCTTGGGGTAGGGTAATACTGTAAATAAAAAGACCAAATCAGCCGTTCGAGTTATGAGATGCAATCTAATCTCCTCAGTCTTCGATGCATCCAGCAGACCGGATACCTTTTTATTAACAAGGGGTATTCACATAACGTAACTTACTCTAGTTTATCTAAGCAAATTAATACGACCTGATAGGAAGGATATTCGACATGTCGAAGTTTGTCTCAAACTGATTATACTTGATCTAACTTATGATAACATAAATAATTCTGCGATTTAAAAGTAAGGTTATAACCTCAGGCCAACCATGAGTTTATATGCCTCATGATATAAATATTTTCCCTCGTAGGGCCAACATATGGAGGTGCTTGTGACAAAGATATTTCCGGAAACTGTGAGCACAATGACCAACTCCGATGTATTGCTGCTGGATCTACGATGAACTACACGTGTCAGTGTGCCGATGAAACGAAAACTTTCTGGGATCCCAACCTTTCAATCTGTAATAATCGTGAGTGGAATTTGTTGATTAATTTAATATTTCATGAAAATCTTCATTTTTTTTACCGATACATTTTTCAAAAGCTTGTTTTAGCGGGTAATAGAATTCGATAAATAAACAATAATTAATTTTTATTCCTTCCTCAAATGTTTTTGAAAAAAAGGTAAATATTTGTGACCAAATAAGTAAATATAACTAATGTTTTAGGACCTGAATATGGAAATGCATGTCAAGAGGAACTTTCGGACAGTTGTATGCATGAATCTGACCTGGTTTGCCTACCTTCGACTGAGTCTGGGGACTTTATCTGTCAGTGTGGAAACGAAACTCTCACGTTTTGGAATCCTGATCAAAACGCCTGTAACAAACGTGAGTATAAAACTAAATCATTGTCGTGAATACTAACGTTTATGAATAATAAGAAAAGTTTGAGTTTGATGACGACAAATGATCAATGAAAGATTTGCTTCCATTTGCGGTTTTGTTAATGGTTTCAATCTGCTCTCAGTTATCTTTACAAATCTTTTTTTGTAGGGCACTTAAAAGTATTTTCCTTTCTCTTGGTGTCTCCTCAGGAAACTATGTTGTCATTTCGTTTCAAATATAAGTTTGGAATTCGTCCTTGTGTATTGATGATGTAGTGCATTATAATTATTGTATCATAATTATTTTTTTCATGACATTTTTTTTTATAATTCATTTCTTGTATCTATTTATATATTTTACTTTTTATTTATTTATTTACAAAACGTTTAAACAGGCCCAGATTATGGTGATTCGTGCAAATCAGGTCTTAAGGAAAGCTGTTTACACAACTCTCAGCTGAAGTGTATAACGCCTCCAGGATCTTCACTTCCTAAATGTCAATGTGAAAATGAGAAAGAAACTTACTGGGATTTTCAGAGTAGTACCTGCAAAACACGTGCGTATATACCAAGTGCAATTTCATATTAATTTTGCGGTAAAATCAGATATCTGAATGATTTATAAACAATGAAAAACGGACATTTAATATTTGTTAAGCGGAAAAATAAGAAAATGGCACATTCGAGGGATATGTTTAAGCACTTGTTATAAAAAAGAGCGCTATGATAAAAGTAGAAACTAAGAGGAAAAAAGAAGGAAATTGTGCGTTTTACAAATGTTCTCGTTTATCTGAGGTTAAAATGAAAACAGCTAATGATGCAAAAGTGTACACTCTTTTACTACTTACTTAAATACGTAAAAAAAAATGTCGTGCATAAGTCACATCACAGGTAATCTTATTTTCAAACAAATGTAAAGCTGACTTTTTTGGGATGGTATCATAATATGCTCACTTAATCAATTTTTGCTCTTTTGTAAAAACCCGTTAGATAACAGTGTTTGCTTTATTTAATCAAATTGCGACTAAAACTGAAAAGGGACTTGACATACATTTGCAGGACCGGTTTATGGTGACGAATGCGATTCCAAACAAACGGACAGTTGTCGACACAACTCCCAGCTTAAGTGTGTCAAATCTACAACATCCGGGCTCTATCTTTGTCAATGTGCAGATGAAACATCAACATTTTGGGAGAATACGACAGACACGTGTCAAAAACGTAAGATTTATACGTGTTTTAGATCTGAGTCATACATCCATAGTCTTATTGCTTGAGACGTCTGAAAACAGCAAACAATATTAAACTAAAGGAAAATCTTAACGTTGCGAAACGCGTCAGAGCTATTTGATACTATTTTGCTTGTGACATTAATATTTTTGGATATGACGGGAAATAGCAATTCAAAATTCCTTGTCCAAATATTTTTGTTTTCAATTTGTCTGATACAATTTGCTAAAATAAATGTGATTAAATAGAAGCGCAAATTTTGTATTTACTGGAAAATTTTATTTTTAAATGATGACACATTCTCTGTTGTTATATGCTATTGATGATACTATAGATGTTTGTTTCGAAGAATTTAAATTATCTCTAATTATGATAAAAAACCTTTTTCCCGAATGTCCAAATCCTACATTAAATCCTTTTGTTTTATTACAATCGCACAAAAAGTATATATAGATAAATATTTTCACATTTTATATCTTTACAGGACCTGCTTATGGGGCATCATGCAATGAACTGATACCAGATAGTTGTGTGCATGGGTCGGAGCTTGTGTGTGGCGTAACAAGTACTGGTGACTACAAATGTCAATGTAAAGACGAAACATCAACCTTTTGGCAAACGGATACAGTGAAATGCACAAAACGTATGTAATAGTATGACGATAAAGCAATGACTAGTATATTTTCAATCTCTATGTCGTATCTTTCAGTGATATACCTGTACATTCGTACCTATGTGTATTGATTGCAACAAAACTTATGTTCGTGTGAATTCATTTCATAAAATGACAAATATATTTACAGATATTCTTTTTAGAAGTATAATGTTTTAGATATATTTTTAAGACTTGCTGCTTAATGTGTGGCTATTATTGTACCCCCGAAACACGAATTACAAATACATTCACTTACTTTATGAAACATTACTGGAAGTTGATGCTGCTAATTTGCTTCATCAGTTTTTAAAGCATCACCTCGTTATAGTTTTGCACTTCTTATTTTTATGATAACAATATGTTGAACACAAAAAATACCATGAACATCCATTATTTGTAGGTCCTACCTATGGCGGTGCATGCGAGTCCAAATTTCCGGACAGTTGTCAGCATAACTCGGATCTACAATGTTTAAAATCACCAACAACAAATGATTTTACCTGTCAATGTAAAAATGAGACCAATTCATTTTGGGACCCGACCGTATCTAATTGTAAACCACGTACGTAAAATTCTACAAAAAAACATTTGGTCGCACATCAATGCTTGCTGTTTCAAAAGGGGGGATTGTGTTTTCAAAATCCCTTCTTTAAGTTCGAATTCTTTCAATTATATTGCTGGTTTCAATGTTTTTCAGTATTAGAGCATGTCCTTCCGAAATGATGTATAGGTAACACATTATTAGAAAAATATCAGAATCCCAAATGGTACAATGAAGCAGCAGATCACATCGGCTTCGTTTATGTCCCCTCATCAAAAGACACAGAAAAAATGCATGGCGCGTCTAAGGTGCAAAAACATAATCGCCAGCGATATTACTGCCCGAATTACTTGCCAACGACGATGCCACATTGACCCTAAGGTTTCAACATTGAAGAAGAACAGACTTTGAGCCAAAATAAATGCGCCTTATATTTTTGTTAATAAAATACATTGTTTCTATGTATATGCTCAACGGTCCATATCGTAACCAAAACGTAATAGTTATACGCTCCCGTGCCATAAATAAGCCACATCAAAATAAATGGGATTGTTTATAACAGATTATGCTTTAACAGTGCTTTAAGACTCACCGTACATTAAAATAAAAAAGAAGTATTTACATAAATATATTATAGTCATAATGTTCTATTTAATTCCATTTCTCTGTAGGTCCAGATTACGGTGAAAAGTGTCAACCTGGATTCAAAGACAGCTGTGTGCATAACACCAACCTTGAGTGTTCCCCTGCCACACACGGTGGAAACAGCACATGTCATTGTAAAAATGAAAACAGTACTTTCTGGGACTCTGAAGCAAAGGACTGCAAAATCAGTAAGAAGTTATTTTATTTGTATATCTGTGTACAGTGTACTCAAAGTCTAAACAAATTGTCATTACATTTAAAATTAATTGTCCTCAGTGATTTCTGTTCCACACTCCTACACTACTTATTATATAATTATGCTCATGATACATCATTAAACAAAATTAACATCTTGCTATTTATTTCACCATTTTACAATGAATTAAACAAATTGCTTCACTATCAAACAAGGAGAATATCGTAAAACTTAAATAATTATGATTATAATAGAATAAACTGTGTTTCCAGGACCAGAATTCGGTGAAACGTGTCAAGCAGGATTTCGAAGTAGTTGTAACCACAATTCGGAGCTACAGTGTCTCCCATCTAGTACCGGTGCTGGTTCCGTCTGTCGGTGTAGGGACACTGATACACAATTCTGGGACCACATGCATTCCAAGTGTAATCTGAGTAAGTTAGGGACAAAAGCAATACATGTTGATACATCTGGATCTTTTTACTTAGCTAAGTATTCCTTGTATCAGGAATCAAAGTTCTGTGACTGATACATGGTTTTAAGAATATGAACACTTTAACATGGAATAGCGATCGATTTGTAACAAGTTAATACAGTGAGTTTAATTAACTGTTACGTGCAGCATAATTTGGCAAATCAAAAACTATGCTAATAATTATACAGTATATATGATTGATTTCGTTTGATCTATTTGATAAGGTGTCAGCGTTGTTGTATGCTATATGCCTTGCACCATTGACTACCGCTGTGTTACATTTCATATGTACAATGTATGTCTAACTATGAAGGACCTGCATACGGAGCAGACTGTCAGTCCGGTTATCCAGATAGCTGTATGTACACTGATCATTTGAAGTGTCGGGAGACAGGTGGACCTAACAAATATTCATGCCTGTGCGTTGATGAAATTCTATTGTTCTGGGACAACACAACAAACTCCTGTCAAATTCGTGAGTTCTTTACCTTTAGACAGATACTTATTATATTATCATGATATAAGCCACGCTTAATTCCTGGGATCTAAAATATGATATAATTTTGTTTGCTATAATGAAACTAAATCGTACTTGAAACGCTTACGACAGTGATACACAATATTTTACATCCAGTTTCATGATGATAATGTCTTACCTTTTGCTTTGGTGTTTTCTCAGTTTTTGTTGTTGTTTTATATACTATGTCTCAGTTTTATCCAGAATTACGCGTTTTCAATAACCTGTAATACTTTTATTTTACTGAAAATTTAGGCTTATTGCATATTATGTCATATATATATATATAAAGAAAAAACTTCTGTCCTTTAAAAAATAGTTGATTGATTAAATAATCAAGTCTGACACAGGCATAGCCTATAAAAGCCCGCTTCCCGACTTCCTTTGATGTAACAATATTTGAATTATTGAAGAACAAGCATACTTATAATACATACATACATACATACATATAAACATGCATACATACGTATACACATATACATATATACATACATACATACATTCATACATACATACATATATAACATAGCACAGCATAGAACAGCATAGTACATACATACATGGCATTACGCTGTATAGCATAGTATTTCATATATGCAATATACATACATACAAACATGCATAGAGTACTTACAGTACACATACATACATACATTATACATACAACGATTTCCTTTAATAAAATAATGTTTTTAGACATGAGAAAAGGGGCTTTAAGGAAGGTGATTACCTTGCTTTTTGTTTCATAGCTTTTACGAATACAGACATAACTTACCATAGCAATGTGATAACTTTTAATAAAAAAATTGTTAAGAATTTGGCTAAATATCTTAAAAAGACTCCCAAAATGACAGTTATTGTAAACTGGTTTGTTTGTATCTACTACAGGTCCTACTACCACAACGCCACCACCGATTCCGAAAGGTACGTAAACTATTGTTTTTAAGGGAAACTTATTTAACAAGTTTTTATACATCAACGTTTTTTAAAGCATTAACCTTAAATATCCTGATTAATTTGTTAATGCAGCTGAATGTATTTCTATTTCGCTGATTTAGGTTTGAGTGAGGTGTTTTACTTTCAATGATGTCAGACCTAATTCCTAAAATATTGTTTACACAGTTCGATTAAGACTTCCTGTAAAACTGCTAATATAAATACATAATGTTTACCTACATGAACATTGCTTTGATATCATAACTGAAAAGAGAACTATACCAGAGTATATTGTTCATGGCAATGAGATTTGCATGTAAGTAAAATATGCATCATCCATCATGGTTTATACAAAACATCGGTAATTAAAAATAGATATTAATATTTCTAATTAATTTATGTATTTTTTTGACAGCATTATTCTTCAAAGGTGACGAAGGCGTTTTGGGTGATCGACGTGTGACATCCAAATGTTTTATTGAGAATTTCACCGACTGGGAATCCCTCGTCATATCGAGAAATAATACCAACCTGATAACCCTGACGTCATTGAATGGCAAACTACAATCGAACTTCGACAGATTCGTCAAGGCTAAGCCGATGATGAGAGGCAACAAAGCAGGGATCTTTTTTCGGTTTGGTAAACTTGAATGCAAAGATGAAGGCACATACACATGCGCGGTGGATGGAGAATATGCTCAAACAGCCAAAATTGTGGCAAAAAGTACGTAAAACATAACTAAACCAAAAAAAATTAACAGCTAAAGTTTAGTATTATTTTGTATTTAAATATTTGTAACATTGTTATGTATTCTTTTCCTTTATGACTTCGATTGTTATAATAAGTATTTATGTGTTTAATAGCACCCGCTAGAGGAGTTCCGAAACTTTCATTAGATGGAGAAATATTTGGCGAGAGACGAACAGTTTTTACTTGTTCTGGAAATCCAGGATATCCATACGGGAAACTTGGATGGAAAGTTAAATTCAAGGACGAAAACACTTTCAAGGATTTCGTATTTCACAGTAGTAGAAACGTTGTGACAGACAGGGACTGCGTTCGACAAGAAGTTGTAAATACCACTTTTCTATTCACGATGAAGTGGAATGGTGCCAAACTCCGGTGTCAGGCCATGGGTTCGAGACAATATGCTGAAGTCGATATCTGGCTTATATCCGGTATGTTCAACATACACAATAACAATCAGCACAAAATAACAAATTTGAAAGAGAACGTTGATACGAACAGGCAACGTCATAAAATTAATTATTTGACTTATTAAATAGGAAACACATTTGATTTTTTCATCATCAAAGTGATAAAATAAAATATATATTTATACCGGCAATATCGTGAATTCGACAAAATCTTATCATATAAAACATTTTAGAGGTATAGCGTCATTGCTAAAAGGCATAAGAGAGATAATTGGTATAAAAGTATGGATATGAATTATACTGTAGGTTATATCAATCCAGAAATAAACACAATAAAGTCGTTAAGTGTTGAAAATAGATTTATTCCAATTTTTATTTAACCTTGTGTTTTTATTTCAGAAAATATTTGTGACCACGCAGAATTGAATACGAGAATAAAGCATCCGTATACACGAAAGAAGTATATATATTGTTTAGAGGAACGTATCATGAGTGACAATTGTCCTGAGGGTCTTTATTTTGATGAAAGCAGGAGGGAGTGTTTGCTAGAGAATCAATCTGCAGGTATGACTACAAAGTCGTAACTCGGAAATTAATCCTCATTACCATTGTTATGTCAAGAGCGTGATTTTAATTGCAAACATAAATAGGCTGCGCCGCTAGTAGCAATTATTTTATGTTCTTTTTAAAACGTCTGACTTATGAAATTGATGCTGTATATCATGAGTTGTAATATTGATATTGTATATCATAATCTGTGATATTCGCTTGAGCCATTGATGCTATACTGTAAATAACTTGCGGTATTGATACTGCACAATATGACTTGTGGTATTGATACTGTGTTCAATGACACTTTTAGGTGTCTGCTTTTGTGGTTTTCATGCTTTATACAGTATCAACGACTTAGCCATGAAAGATAAAACCGGAACTGCAGACTGCAACAGTTTGAAATAATATTTCCAAAAAATTTAACCCTGAATAATTGGGCTTTAATATTTATTTTCGAATGAGCTATATGTAACACATCCCTGTTGTGCAATTACAATTTGAAGTCCCATTCCTTGTTATTTATTTACATATTCATGATTTATTTATTTCAGATGCCGAGTTATATTCGTGTGCAGGCAAAGCGCCTGGTGTGGCTATACCGGATAAGGTGGACTGTAAAAAGTACTATCTGTGTAGCCATGGCGACAAACATTTACGGGAGTGTCAACATGGCTACTTCTCAATGAATGGACCACCCTATTGTGTAAATAGATATGCGGAATCATTTTGCGGTCAAAACAAAAACATTTAAAGGTTTATATTTGTTAAGTTCAACCATTTTATTTCTCTTAGCACATATATTGTTAATACCGGGGTCGGATCCCGGAGTTATTGTTCATATCAAATATGTATAATTATCAAGCTTTTCATTGTTCACACATTATTTCATACTTATTGTTTAGTAAATTACCTTGACATAACATCTCATCCCGTTTACATTTAATGATAAATTTAAAGCATATTTTGAATTTTTGCTAGGAGTTAGCCGTGACGTATTCTTTATATTGTGTATATTGATCATACTTATTTTTTACTTGATCATTTTCTTCACCTGTGCAATATTTTATGTATTATAATCATTTGTTGTCTTCGGATGAATTTTTGATACTTTTTAATGAAAGTATCTACGTCACTTTTGGTCCATATGCTTTGTTGCTATAACAAACATTGTATGTCAGCTATTCGACATCGTTAATATGCATAGCTTTGCAAATAACTGGGGTTAATTACATGTTCCTACATTCATTTCGAGAAGTTATTAAAATATATATATTTAAACAAAGTGTTTTGCTTTCTATTGTGTTCATTGCAGTCTGAATACATTATTTTAATTAATATACCTTTGTGTACTTTAGAAATATGCAAAGTTGGGACACACGACAAAACAAAGGAATAAGTTCGAATAGCATTTGTTTCAAACGAATGTATAAACATTCACAATTGAATAAGTAGTTGTCTTATTCCGGATTATGGCTTCATGCCACCTGAATATGCTGGACACATCATGTATATCCTTATGTTTTGATTCCTCCTCCCTTACTAGGATTCCATACTATTTTTCATATGACTTAGATGGTTGGTGACCTATTGAAGCTGAATGAGACTTAGGGCTGAGAGACTGAAAATAGGTCAAATGTCAATGATTTTGAAAAAAAATGAAACTTATCAATCCAGATCACTTGTCGTTCCCATCGGTTCCTGTGGATGTGAAAGTTGTTATTTATTTGACAACATTGTGTCACCTCATTAGCAACTGTTTTACGTTCGTGTTGACTTTGACATTCAGTCATGTGTATTGACACTGTGGATGGATTTCTATATTAGATCAAAGCGGAGTCAAACATTCGTTCTTTGTAAAATAAATACCAATGGGAAGTAGTTAACAACGTGTGCATTAAACATATTAATCATAAAATATTGGCTATTTCCGTGCAATATTGCCGTTCATTGAAAACGATTTATCAAATGTACAATAAACATGCAAATGCGTCCTGTACTGTGGGAATCAGGTCATCATACACACTACAGCTTCTACGTTTGTAAACAAAATGGCTAACCTAGTTACCGTAGATACGGTTTGCATTTATGGCGGAGGCAGGACACTGTAAACAAAGTTGTTCCGATGGGGTTTGACACATTTTCTCACATCAACACAAATCAACACAAGAAGATCTCCAGGAACAACACATAAATTCAACAGCTGCATGCTTGAACTCCACTTCAACTTCTCTGAAACACACAATCATTGGCGACCACGTGTAGCCGGTCAACTTCATAAGTATTGCAGTTTCATGGCAGTTTTCAGGGGGGGGGGGTTTCTGACTCAGTGACAGGAAAAAACATTGAGGTTCCTATTCACCAAGAACCACCTCCCAAGTGTGATGACCTTCCACTGGACAGTGCACGCACCGTTGTGTCAAAATATGTGACATCACTTCTATTTTCGTAAACGCTGGTGTTTTTTTAATTGTTTTAGTATACAAACAATCATTATTAATATTGTTATGATAATTATTCAAAAATGTATAGACGAAAAGAAACATAAGTGATTGTTTGTTCATTTAAAAGTTTCTCAGGGCGAAGTTTCTGGAACAGTTTTTGTGGCGCAGTGAGTTCCAAACATATTGCATGTAATGCATTTTTTGTCAGTCGTCGCTATAGAGGAGGCGTATTTATAACAATTATGAAGGGTGTTTCTCAAAATATATAATAAATATAATCTATCACTCGTGTTCAGGTGATATTTTATTAATTAAACTGGTTTATTTATTTAACATAAAATTAATAAACTCGTTTAGTCAATTTAATATTACATTGACACGACTGTCAGATACTCTTTTTGTAACATGATCAATAAGGATTAATTTATAGGAATTGAAGCACTGATACCTATCCAATTATGCAGAGAACGTGAACGTGACACTTTGAGTGATGGTTTTTGTTTTGTACCAACCGGTATGGTCAATTTTTATTGTAAAACAATATGAAGAAATAAATTGAAATATCCGACATTAGTAAATCCTAATATGAAACAAACATTATTGATGGTCATTGAAACAAAATATCGCAGTTTATCATAATTAAAATCATGATTTTTCCTGAAACATCTTGACAACTGCCTTTGGCTAATATCTTTTTAGAAATTAACAAGTCTTTACCGCATCAAATTTAAAAAAAAGCGTAATTATATAGCTAATACTGATTAAGATTTTACCTTCCTATATATTCATGGCGACGGTTATGGCTTTTTTAGAAATTAACAAATCTTTAACACATTAAATTAAAACAAAAACATTTTTTCATAGCTAGTACTGAAAAAGATTTTAACTTCCTATGTGTTCATGGCGACGGTTTTGGCTCATTACTCTTTTCGCATGGTCCAATGAACCATAAACGTGTCGCAATGATTCAATCCGACTGATCTATTGTCAAGCAACAAGTATGACTGAGTGGGCGATTTCTATTGTTTACCTGGATGGGACGAAATTATAAACATATTTTATTGCTCGACTATTCGGCTATTTGACATTTCTACTAACGACTAATTGTATGTACACAGTTTAATAGGGTTAGATTGTACTAGTTTGGTGTTGATCTTTCGTCCACTCCAGTTCTCATAACGTCATAAACATAACGTTAGCCATCAACATTCCCATATCCCCACCAACCCTGTTCGTGTTGTTTGTGTTTACGTGTTGTTTTTTTCTCGCTAAGGTTGTCATGGTTTTGCCATTAAACTCTTCTAAATGGCTGCATCTCATAACGTTTAGCAATATTATAAAGATAGTATCAATCGTAAAAGAAACTTGTACTAAAATAATAGGAACAGTTAAGCTCTCACCTGGAAGGGATTATTCGGTTCACTTCAATGAACGTTTAAATCATGTAGGTATACAACATACGTTACTGTAAACTTATATCCAACCATTTTGATAATGTACACTTCAAAAGTGGAAATAACGGTATGTGGAATTCAAAAGTTCTTTAGACCAATCTTCGACATCCTCTTCTCAAAAATATGTTTTCTAACAACACTTTTGACTTTTCGACCCTTTAGACTGCCATTCTCACACCAAACTGAAGGAAGGCATAGGCTTATTATGAGAGCTTTCCTTTCAGTTAAAGGACTACAGCGATATAAATATCTGGTTGTACAATATTTCGGTAGAACACGACCACATGCTCCTTGCTCACTATAGATCTACAACGAACCACCAAGGATCGATGCCGAAACATGAAGCCCCTGTCTATCAACAACTTCCGGTCGTCTCAAAAGTGTTGACACAGATTTCAGCACCGATATAGTAGCAGCTGATCGTAGGGAGACAAATACTGGTGCATACCGCTGTAATAAACAGCTCCCTGTCTGTACATTATAAACAACAATTATACTTAACAAAGTAATGCAAATGAGAGAAATTAACTATCTAGCTTCCCACAGTAGTCTCATCATATACAGACTTTCTATAATGTTTTTTCCATGACAAAAATAAAAATCAATAGGGATGGAATTGTGAAGCGTATAAAATATCTTTTTATCGTGTTTTATTTATTTTTTCATATATACTACTCACATTTCGTTAGTGATCAACTATATTTTGAAGAGAGAAAAAAATGTTAGAAAGGAATCATATTTTCCTTCCGTGCTGATTTGGGCGAATATGTTAGCCTTCAAACTCGTCCTGTGTTGGAATGTTCAATCAACCATAAAAGCGCGTGCACGCTTTTCCACGTGTAATTCCCTTCAAAAGCTAAGCTAGGCTAGGTAAGGCATTGTTCAAATTGTTACGGAAATCAATTTGATGAATATTCGTTGCGTGTTTTTGTTTTAATATGGCACAAAGACGAACCAGACAACAGTTAAATGACGGTGAAATGAATAGGGGCATCATAATGCTGCAAGCTAGCATGTCTCAACGTCAGGTTGCAGCAGACATTGGGGTGTCTCAAAGTATGGTGGCAAGAATGTGGAATCGTTTTCAAACTAACGGAAACCCTTCCAGACGTCATGCTGGAGGTCGTTCTAGGGCTACAACGCAGCGCCGAGACCGATTTTTGCTCATACAGGCACGGCGTCACATGCTCTCTCTCTCTCTCTCTCTCTCTCTCTCTCTCTCTCTCTCTCTCTCTCTCTCTCT